TTTCCAACAACTGTAGCTCGGACTTTTTCAGTGTCGTTCAAAAAAGTGATAAACTAAAAATAAAAATAAAAACATTTTGGCCAACTATTAGGGTCTAATAAAACACTGTGACTAATCTTAAACCTGAAAATAACTGTCTATCGTACTAAAAATGTTTGTATTGAAATATTGGTGCACGTAACCGCTATACGTAATAAATATGTAAATCGCAAAAAAACATTATGTTGAAAGGTATGTAAATGAGCGTACTGAACAAAATAATGTCGCTAGCGTTAGTTACGAGCAGTTTGGCTGAATCAGTCGGATCATTAGCGCACCGCGATCGCTACCGCGCCCGCTCCCGCTACCGCGCCCCTTATCACACGAAGCGCGTGTGCGCCCGCGCGCCTCACCGCGCCTCTCGCAACGTGACGATAGTTGCTGCTGTTATTCGGCATTGAAGTCAAATCACAATGTGTTATCCGTTGTCGTAATATGTGTTTATCATTACGTTTCTCCGCAAAGTTTACAAGGAAGTATCTCGCACGCAATAAACCACATTTATTTTTTTGTACTACGACTAGTTAAATACCGAAATATTTGCTTCATTGCCGCATTATACGCTTGTTTCACGAATTGTGTGACAATGAATGTTTATTAATAGGATAGGTTTTAAAGTATTTACATAGATATTATCGTCGCTGTTTAGACACTCTATACAGGGAGTACAAATTATAAATAAGAATGTTTATGCTTAAAGTTTTTCCTCTTATTCAGGATAGCGAAACTGTTTAGTGAAAAATTTTTGCTGCAGAATTAACGTTGAAAGAGCCTTTGACAGAAGATTAAAATTGTTCCTTTTAAAGTGTACTTTACAAAAAGCAACATATTTTAGTCCATTTATTTATAACACAGTATCCCTTTAATCTCCAGCGATGTAGGCAGAGCCGAACCACTTCATGTGTTTTATGAAATATTCATTGCATAGGCATTTCACACGGACCTTGATCTCTAAGATAGGAAATAAAAACGCAATACTTTTATCCGTCGACAGCTTAGTGATTTAAATCAACTGCTCTTTAAAATAATGTGTTGCTTAGTGCATAACTCGTAAAGAGCTGAACCCATTTCGATAAGTCTTTTTCTAGAATATTCCTTGCAATACGAAGATTGTTGTTACGTAGAGAATAATTATTAATTATAAGGTAGATATAAAGTACGATACAGTGTGATCGGAGGCAGCCTACGGCCAGCTATTAGTTAGATTTATAAACACTCATAATTTCGAAGTTGTAAGAAAACAAAATGATAATTGACAATAACACTTCGTAAATCCATAAGTTGACCATTAAAAGTTTACGCTCTTGGTCTAGTGGGTGGGGTTATTAATTCTACTGCTACGTGTTAAACATTTTATCATCATTAGCAAATTTACACAAGAAATCAAAGCTCAAATTAAGATAAATATCTCTACCCAAAAACCAGCTACTTTAGCAGTTATATGGTAAAAAAAAGTTTTCTCCCAAAAAAAAAACGCATTCCGTAGTAAGATTTTTTGCCTTACACCAATTCAGTGAATTTTCCTAATTCTTTTGATAGTATGAACCCAAAATTCCTTACTTTTTTACTATCAATTCTCGTCCGAAACTGAAATGAAATCCGTTGGCTACTTGATATCAAAAAGAACACCCTACAATGAACAAAAAGATTAAAAAAAACGAGTAGCTAACTGCAGATTATAATAAAATGCTGTGTTAAAAAAACTGTACATATAACTGGTTACCTAGTGGTTCTAAATTAATGCCTTAGACAGAGAATGGTTCGTTAATATTGACACTGACATGCACATTGTTCTAACACTTTTTTAAACTTCGTAAGCTATGGTTTTTCCACCTCTATTAGAGACGCAAGTTTGCTCAAAGTATGAAGTCCTTCATTAAATCTATTAACTACTATTAACGAATAACGAGAAAATCCCTATCATTTTCACAATTGAGGATAAAAAATAATAGAAAAACACATAGAATGCAATTGATGTGTATGTATTTGTATATATAGGTATGTAGAGAAAATCTTCTGTACAATTTACAGTGAACAAGCGGTGATAGTTCACGAACTTCGCACGTAACTAGCATCGTCCAACTCGACCGTATTGCAAGGGACCCTGCAATATCTCAATATAGGAGAAAATACTATAATATTGCTGAACCACGTTACAAACATTCAAAGCACGCAATTCACACCAAACTTTAATGACATCGTTAGACTTTATGTTGATTTCTTGTAAAATTAGATCACAACTGTACCTTGTTATCGTTAACAGAGATAAAATAGGTAGTTCTAGTTATAAATTACTGTATTTGGATTAAGAGCAAATCCAATCTACTATTATTATAAATGCGAAAGTAACTCGGTCTGTCTGTCTTTTCTTCACGCCTAAACTACTAACCGATTTCTGTGAAATTTGGTATAGACAAGGTTTGGAACTCGAGAAACGACATATTTTTAATCCAAAAATCTGCAGGAAGTCACTATTCCACGCGAACGGAGTCGCAAGGAAAAGCTGGTACTGACATAATTTATCTATTTTACAATTATTTTAGGGTTATTGTAGATAAAGTCGCGCCGTGCGTGTGAGTTGACGAGGTTCGTTTGGTTAATCTAATCTAATCTAAATAGGTAACATAATCTTCCACTGACGCCTGAGATTGATACAACTCAGGAAACATTTCTAAACTTCCATCTGCCTATTGTCTGGGTATTGGATAGATGCGCACGCGCATTGATTCAGTCCAATAGAAGTATCACAAGATTAACTGGATCTTCGAGTTCAATTTACAACATCTTCTTAACTATAATTATATTATATTCAATTATAAACATTATTTTAGCATTTGAGCACCATATGGTATTAATTAGGAAATATATTTTTAAAGAATTCTTTCAAATATTGACAATGTCATGTTATCAATGTACATGAACTTTGGATCGAGCACCGAGGCTCACTATAAAATAGATGGAACTTTAGTAATAAATAAAATACTTTTAAAGTTATTTTCTTGAACTTGGTATACTATTTAAGGAATTTTGGTTGTGAATGTACGCTGGGCGGTTTCAAAACCACATCTAGTATTGACTTGTCATCTTGTTAAGAAATGTATCTTCTGTAATGTACGCTGCGATAAGTATTTTATGGATTTAATACGATCAGAATTTCACAAGGTTTTTTCTTGTTTGCAGAATGCAGTGGCTGCCTACTGATACCTCGGCCTAAGACCTCACACTACGGTCTCTGAGAACATCTTGCAGCAAAACGTTTATGAGCGTTTCTAGTTTTGCCATTCGGCCTCAAACGGCACCAACATCTTCCTTTAAAGTTTAACTGTTCCTATCACCCTAGTGATTGAATTAGCTATACAAATGTCTTATTCCTAATACATAAACACACATTTTTTTGCGTAGTCTGACGTTATCTATGTTTATGATCACATCAGAAGAGTGTCGTAGCAGCGCATCGTACGGTTATCAGTAAGGCGCACAGATAAGCGCCGATAATTAGCGAGCACGCCCTGGCTAAAGGAACAGCCACGTGCTCTGCGGTTGGACCTCCTTCTCCCACCACTACACTACATCTGCCAGAAGCATGTGCAACCGCAATCACGAGCACCTCTTCGGGAGGTTCCATTCTGCTGTGGTCAATAAAGCAAGAAAGTGTATATCTCCTCGTCATGTATAATCATAATATATATCGGTCAAGGTCACCGTTCGACGCTCGCCCTCGCACCGCTCGCAGTGCTATTCATATCGTGAGCCTTAGGCGCTCCTCACATCGGATGTGCCGGCGACAGCGACACAGCGCTCACCGCAACGGTTGCCGACTGCCAGTAGCGGCCCTACAAGCCTCTGCGACCGCGATCTGTGCTCGCAATATTTGTCACCCTGTGCTCAGACCTTAGGATTGTGATATTCAGGTCGTTTAAATATATTGGAATATTAGTATTCCATATTTGAGTTTATGAAAATTGCAATTGTACCGAGAAATTTGATACTACACATAGTTCAAATACGTATTTGCCCGCACAGTTCGCATCTTTTGTTGCAAAACGACGCATACCTATAACGGATTTATTTAACTTTGTTAACAGGAAAATAATTTATTTTATACTCAAAAACAATGTCATATTCCTTAAACAACTCTATCTTGATTTTTATTATAATAAAGGGAAATTTAACTGTTTACTAGTCACAATAGTGTTTACGGAAAATTGAGGTACCTAGTTGTTACAGCGTATTATCATGAATCAATTGCAAACTCTAAAGTAACTTAACTGCGTTAAAATGCGCGAGTTTACAATCACGCATAATGGTTAGCTGCTATTAAAGCAAATCAGCTGACAGCGAAACGTCCCGCCGCGTGGTAATCGCACTCGTGACCCGCGGCTTGCATCGCCTACACTTAGGAAGTAGGGTACCGGAAATGTCGCAGTGTGCTCCTCGGCGGATATCTCGCGACACCACCCTGGCAAACTGTTCACTTTTCAGAAGTAAGGTCACCCACTATCGATCCGCGCCAGCTGGAGACCGCTCCGCAACATCGCTCGACAGTCTCGCGGGCCTCGTGAGCCCACCACGGCGGTGGCCCTCGGCCACCCTCAGCCCACCCGACCCGAAGACATCGGATCGCTTCCGTTTTGATCGGTAGACGATGCGTAGCTACCGCGAGCTATAGGTAAGTAGACGCTTTTCGGGAAGGGGCCACAGGGGCGCGGGTCGATCGAACGGCGGAAGCTTCAATGCGGCAAAGCTTATCATGTGCGGATCCGCAGAGCGAACATTGAACACGAAAAGGTGACTTCACAGACCCAATACCCCAACCCGCGGACTCTCAGCGTGCGACCTGCACGCGCGCGCCGCCGAGCGCGTGACGCGCGCCCAGTTCCTACTGCATGGCATTCCCTGCTCGCTGTGCTCCTGTTCCCGCACGTCTTCAATCATCAACCAAGAACTAAGAGAGTACTCACCGTTTCCGTTTATAAGGGGGTAGTCGTCGTCGTGCCGGCCGATGTACGTCTTCAGCGGGGTGTCCGTGAGGGAAGGCGACGATCTATCCCTGTCGCTCATAATAGTCACTTATAACACCGGGTACAGACTCGATACAACAACACAAGACGGGGAGACCGGCCCCGCACGCTCGTCTCCAGTCACGACCGACCTCCGGCCCGCGGCTCGCGCGGCGAATAAATAATTAAATACTGGCAGCGGCAGCTATCCGCGTAGCTCGCGCCTCCCTCCGCGCAATCAATTGCCCGCGGCGTCGCCTGCCGCAGCAGCGCCATCTGTCGACAGCTGCGGTCTTTCAATGCATGCACATAGGTGGCGCTGCTCTTAACGTGAGAATGTCTGTCCGCATTTCATATACTTTATCATTATTTCTTTGGATAAGTGAGTATATGTATATTATAATGTTGCTTTGAACATTCGAAAGACTACCTACAATAAAATAAGTCTGTGGCGCTCTACGAGGGAAACGACATTGAATGCGTTTATTTTCTACAACACGATTTTTAATAAAATAACACTCGGACTTCATAATAAAAACTTCTCACATCTTTGTAAAAAAACAATCACATAATTATAATCATTCTTATTAAACCGCATATCACTACAGGTTCTTATTTTGCTTCATGGAGTTGACTCATTTCTTTTCGCCCTTTATCTATTCTATATCTACATAGTAGGTACTTGTAATTTTAGTTCTACTTCATAATTTTCTTTGTTCAGCAGTATTTCGGGTGATGAGGATGGTGTCAATAAAGTTTATTTTGTAAAATTCATTAAACATAATAAATACTTTCCTGTTTAATCGTACAATTTATACATGTATAGCGTCTTTAACTTTTAATTCACCGTCTTTCCTGTTTTTGTCACTTTATTTCCTGTTGTTGTCAAATCTTTTTATAATTGTATTAAAGTTTTCTAATGTAAATTTTTACAATTTTGTTTCAAAGTTCGGGTTAAGTATTCGAGGATTAGAGATGGGACGATGTTCATGCCGAAGCATGGCTCTCCTACTCATTCGCTAACAACATTTTTCCTTTTTCAGTAAATTTTTAAGGCATGTCTGCGTCCATGCATTTTTTTATTTATTGGATTAAAAATTTATTAATTCTATTTGAGGAAGTTGGATTAGGTGGAAAGGAAAGTCAGCACTCACTGTGTAAGAGCAAATCGATGTGTGTATTTCTATGATTTTCTCTCCATTACAAACACATATTAATCCATTAATAAATCCTAGAGATAATAGATAGACACATGAACTTTCTCAAGCGTTAAGAAATCTTAATTTTAATGATAATCATTATGTGTAATTGTTACTACGTATTTAATAGATGAATTCGTTTAACTTATTACAAATTAGAAGTCAGCGCAATTTCGTTGCGTTAATCCCGTAGTATTATTAAACAATTGTTATTACACATATCTCTACATTTATTTATAAGTAAGTACTACAAAGTATAACTCTCATTCGTAATGCTTCATTGCTGAATTAATGGGCCATATATAATAGGCAGCAATTTGATATGTCTCGATCTACTAGCCTCGACTAAAATAACAATAAAGAAAATGTGTCCAGCGTATTTTTCTCACTCTAGAGTTAAACTAGACATACTACATACTGCGCACTACACTCAAAGATTCAGCGAGTAGAATTATTTGTAATGTCCGACTTCTCATCCAAATCCATATCTTTTTATATATAAAAATGGATCGCAAAATTTGTTGGTAAGCGCATAACTCAACAACGCCTGGACCGATTTTGCTAATTCTTTTATTGTTATGTTTGTTATTGTCAGGAGAAGACTTATCAAAGAAAATATTAGAAAAGTAGAGGGGAAGATTAGGAAATAGTGACCCTTTGATAGCCAGATAGTTGGACCCGAGCGAAGCGGGGGCGGGCCGCTAGTATTGAATAAAATAATTTAGTATTGTTTAATGGGAGGCAAAACTACTATCAAGTAGTGAAGTAACAATAGTTTGCATCTCAAAAAGAACAACTATTTAGTAGTTAATTTTTCGTTTTACGCATGGTTGGCACAGTGGTTGATTGACCGGGCTCAGGGCTGTTGCGCAACTCGTCACAGGTCCGATTTGCTCTTGGAAAACTCATTTTAAAATGTATATTTATCATGAGTATTACACAGTTCAGGAATAGCTCATAGGAGTTGCAGCGATTTAAGGGAAGGTCGTGGCGTGCTTGTCCTAAAAAGAATAGGAACGGCGGCCATGTTGCATTTGGTATTTTGTGACTTACTTTTTTATAATAAACTAGTGTTTAGTTCCACCAGTCTCGACGCTTGTCCGTTTATTTGTAATGGAGTCAAAGTATGAACTTATCATAATATTTTTTTATGATTATAATATATTAGGTATAAGGTATGTTATTAAAAGCTTTTTCCTATTATGAGATTGTCTGTTCAGGGTTTCTTCGTAAAATTGATCTTTTTCCCCAGTAGTTATTTGATAGTTCAAACATATGAATAGATTGATTTTATGTGGGAGAACCACGGGCATGCTTCGGCACGAATTGGCCAGCTCTACAGGAGTAATACCTCGGCCTCACAGAAAAGAGGCGTGAAATCACACTTGCGTTGTGTTTCACCATATCAGTGAGGTTATCGGAGTTCCTTGAATTAGAAAAATCATACCATAAAAAATATGAAATTCAAATAAACTTCAGTGCATTCAAATAATTGACAAAACTTGTAGTTTTATTCTTAGCGACTTTGAACCAATGTGGTTGTTTTCGAAGAGGCTGTAGCCAAATTTATTTTTCAGACACACATTTTAAAAAAGCCTAAGTCAAAGAATTTTATGAGTTGTTACAGGACACGTAAAGGTCTTCTTGTATATTATGCAGTACTGAAAATTTTAAACAAATAATCAGTTAATATTTCAGTTTGTATATTTATATTCATAGCGAATACTCCTGTGTATTTTTCATGTAGACATAATAATATTAATACACTTCCACAGGAACTCGCCTTGCACACACACAAAATGTTAATAATCTGGGTTGAGTTCTCCATAACTTTTATTTCTCTTTGATTTGTAATGATAACTTCTTGCTTCCTGCTGCTTTAGGTAACCTATATAGTGCATTATTTCTGAGGTGATACTGGTCATTCTCTTATTTGTGATTATACTGTAAGCCTATTTGTAAGAATATATTGTATCTACCTACTATTATACGAGTTAATAAATATTTTATTATTAGTGTCAAATCTATTTTTTACTTTTTTACCACACAAATATAATTATGTCGTTTACTGAACTATATCCGTAATCTATATTAGTAAGTCAGATAAGGTTAATTTTAAAATATTATAACATGAGTCAACATGTTATAATATGTTAAAATTAACCTTTTTGCACGGTTGATGCGGTGGCTGGCAACTGGCTGCCATGCCATGTATCGCGGGTTCGATTCCCGCACGGAAAAACTCTTTGTGTGATCCATAAATTGGTGTTCCGGATCTGGGTGTCATGTGTATGTGAAATTGTATGTTTGTAACCGTAACCACGACACAGGAGAAAATCCTAATGAGGGGCAGCGTTTATAAAAAAAAGGTAAAAAAAACATAGGTTTGAAAACATTATCTGGAGACTATCTTAGCATCACGGGTACAGAAGGAGACTGAAAACGGAAAAATGGGATTTTGGTCACCACGCTAAACTTGGAATACAGAATATGCACTCAGCGTGTTTGATATTATCGTGATATGTAGATATAATTACTCCTCAATCTACAGTATTATTTTATCTGTATTATACCAATGTAACGTCAAAATAAAATAAAAAAGGAGGTTACAATGTAGTTTTGTAAATTTAGCATAGGGTACCTTCTTCCATTCAAAATCATCAAATGACTTCTCACACCTGACTCTTCTGGCCCGTCAGAAAACCGCTCCGTTCTTACTCCTACTTTAGCGCTTACCCCATAACCCCGGCTGACTTGTTGGGCTCATTTGTAGTGATCTATTACCTCTTTGAGGCGCGCACGTAACGCTACGCGCCGTAAACTCGGGTCTGGTTCAGGTCGGGTGGCGAGCTAACCTTGCTTGTCGTCCGCAGACCTACGCTTACAACGGCTCAATCCCTATCACCCGAAACGTCGCCTACTGCGATGGCCTGGTGAATGGTACTCTCACGCGCACCACTTCCTTCTTTGCGAGCATCACTCTTTCACATAAAGAGGAGACGGCTTCCGAGCGAAGCTCCATTTTTTTCATCTCTTTCTACATCATGTCCAAGACCAAGGTTGGACGCGAGAGGTCGCCGACGCCAATCATTTCCTTGAGGTCACGGCGTTGCTCAATCCCAGCAACCCTGCTGGAGCAATATACCAATACCACCAAGGTGAGGATGCCACGGTATCTCTAGCTACTTCTCAAAGAGTGGTCTTACCGCTGCTTGAACAGCGTGTCAGAATATTTTTTATACCCTAGTGTAATTAATACAGAATTAAGCTAGTACATTAGTACAAGTAGGAATTTTGTCAAAAAATTTGACATTCATATTAATATTATGGATCCTTTACACTTGCAATTCTAGGTTTTTTAAGGATCATACTTACATTGTTCCTTCTACTCCGACGTTTCTCCCTAGTTGGCCGTGTGACGCAAAGAGATGCAGGCATCTACGATGACTCCACATCTTCTCAGTAGCCGTTTAAGAAAAAAAGCTCTTGAACTTAGGTTGGTTTAATGCCTGACAAACTTCCAGTTTTTTTTATTTATTAATATGACATGATATATACTACTGCTACTACCTACTACAGTAATCCGCCCCCTAGGAACTATTTAGGTATATCTAATGCCTACGGTAAAATGCCAATGTCTCAGGGCTATTAAAAATTACTGGATGCTTACGATCTCGTTAACAAAAATATGAGCGTTTCTTACATTACAAATTACATTTTCAAAGATTTCGCTTTGGTGGGCAAAAGCCCTTCAAGCAATTATCAAAATAAGCTATTTCGAAACATTGGGAATTTAATGTTAATACAATATCAATCGATATATCTTATACAAGTTCCTTCCAAACTTTTTTGCTTATTTGCTTACATATGATTAATTGAGGTATAAAAGTCTCACTTGTCGGGGTTTCTTTCACACTCCGTTTTAAAAGATATCTTGGACTAGTAGCTACATCTGATTTTAAATTGTCGGTCAGTATCATCATTATCCCGCTTGCAGCGAGCATGCAAATCTGGTCTTACCCAGGTCTTATATCTACGTCCCCTAGCGAGTTACACAGACACTGCGATACTATTCTACCTTCTAAAATCAACCTTCAGCCTTGAGGGTAAGTGGTGTGGCGCCCACTTGGTATGAAATTTAACCGATAGATGGCACTATAGACAACATTTAGCTTTGCCAACATACAATGTTAACCTTCACAACATGAGTAAAGTTCGCACACAAAAATGCAGCATTACAACTGCTGAAGCCTGCTAGGATCGATCACTAGTCGAAGGGACAGAGAACCAAGTGCGAATTTTTCTTAGCTATGACGCGTTCAAAACGTTACCACGTTCAACCCTGTCTAATTGGCAAGTTAACTAGGACGACCACCGACCCAATTAGAGCACGTCATACAATAAATAAAACTCGGATTAAGATCTCTGTAAAGGCAAGAGAGAAAGAGAAAACAATTAACGATCATGGGATACCTTATACACCCCGTTCCCTCCACTGCCATATACGAAAATGTGTATAATAGTGTCTGTCTGCTGCATGCCAGTAGAGACATAAGACTCGCTAAATACTACGTAGGATTAAAATATTACTAGCGAATACTGGTATTCCTCGTCTATTCTTTCAGAAAATAAAACTTGTTCAATTTGTAGATTCGTCGTAAATGTAGCAGATAAGATGTGCAGGCATTTGAATAGTAGTTAGATTTTTCAGGTAAAACATATGAATAACGTTTGTATTCTTTATAGGATAATTGCTACTGCCTGTTACAAAGTTAGTGTATTTATAAAACTTACTCATGTCCTCAAATTGTTTTTAAAAAGACGCAGTCCTGGCGAAAAAAAAATCTGACTAATGTCTACATTTTTCAATTGGAATTTAATAAATGATCTATCTACATTTTTCAATTTGATATTTAGGTATACTGGCACAACGGAACTAAACCTTACCACCTGTCAGCTGCTCTTGTAGCGAACGCAATTTGTAGTATTGCTCAATATATACTTTGTATAATTTGATTATATGTAACCTTAATTGATCACAAAAACATGAAAATGATATCCTGCTAGCGGTTTGTTTGCTATGAGTGGTGTAAAACTGCCGAACGCAATTGTGTTTTTTGAGATGATGTCCAAAGTCGAATTGTTGGTCACTGAAATATCTCTATAGTCATATCTTTGCAAACAGTTTAATATTAGAGCTAAAAAAGTAACATTATATATATAAATTTGCAGCCGCTGTGAATTGTTTGCGGCGATAAAATCGTTCCACTGCTTGTTTGTGTCCGGAGAGACAGCGGAGGGAGCAAAGGAGGGTAGCTGAACACCGCTGTTAGGCGCGACCGGCGCGGCCTTAGCGGCGTTCACGGCATTCGCGGCGTTGGCAGCGTTCGCGGTGTTCGCGGACGCCGACTCTTGCGCCGACGCAGTCTCCGACTCGGATATGTCCTTGCGCGAGCGCCGTGCGCCCAGCGCTCCCAACGCCGCCTTTAGCTCACGCTCTGCCACGCTGGCGCCCGTCATACGCGTCACACTTTCTGCACACATCAACAAAAAATAGGCACTGAGTATTTTAGAAAATACATTACATTAAATGTTTCACGCGTGAACAACAACTAATCTTACAAAATTATTCTTACTATCATAATATTTTTTGTGATGTAACGTGATGTGTTTGCGAGGTAGCCCAAAGATCAATCATAAAATACCACCAAATGGCATAGCAGGTTCTGGCTGCTCTGGTAAAATGAATATGTTTAGATGGAGCTATGAGGGTTATAATTTCTCTGAAGAAAACACTTTGAAATATCGTCATCAGGCAAAAAATATTTCCCTCTTGAAAAAAAGGTGCATTTTCTCACGATACTGAATAAGATTTTATTAGTTCTCAAAAAAGCAAGTGCGTTTTTACATTATATTACAACACTTTGTGTGAGTTTGATGTGGGAAGCTCGTTTACCAACCCTTATTTATAAACTAAAATAGAATACCAAATAATGGTCTTACTGAGACATCTGACTTCGATGTTTGGTGCCTTATCAGTAATGAAAATGTTGATAAAAAGCTTACACCTTGCCTGCTCAAGCGCGATTTCAAACATATAATTAGAAATTTTAAGTCTAGGTTTTCTCACACTATTTACCTACCCTCACCGTATTTCAGTGTCGGTTGTTTCAGAACCTTGCAACCCGCACCCTCATTATTGAGAAGTGGGCACCTTCTTCAACCACCACGATATTCCACCATGTGTCATTCCAGTGGTAAAATCCTAGTGACATTTTATGATTGACTTTTGGATAACCTGTGTGAAAAGTAGAGTTACCACTCTACTTTACTACGCACGAGTATGATCGTAAAATGAAAAATGTAACAATATATAATTATCTGCCTATTTATTATTCTACTGTTGGATTTTTTTAAAGTAAGAGAATATTTTCGTAAATAATCATAGTCCACGATCCCTAGTACTTATGTATTTGCAGTTTATTACTATCGAACTAATTTCCCGTGAGTATCCTCATTTTGATGAGACGAAAGTTTTTTTCAGTAAGAAAACTCACGATTGTTGTAGTTTACTGAGTTTAATACTTATGTCGATTTATTGATTCTAAATATATCTTGCTTATTAATTATTTATTTTATTTTTTACGTAAGTAGTTATAAAATTAGTCAAGTAATATTTGTGTTACATAATCTATGGTTTAAACAAAGAGGACTCGACTCTTTTTAATAAGTAACTATTATATTGAGGTGTAATCAACAATTAAATTACTGTAAAAAAAAATTTATTTTAACAGTTAAATTATGAAACAAAATTAAAACACGCATTTATCACTATTTTGGTATATTTTTATTTAAAACATAACCAATTTCACATTTCCAATTTTACGATATAAAAAACTCATCAAACATAAAAATGGCGTCATTAACTTCAAAACGCATCAACTGACTTCTGGAGTACGGTCCAAGGGGGATTCGTTCCGTTTCCAGAAGAAAAATGTCTTCTATATCAGTGTCTTGATCCATTTACCTAAAGGCAGCCCCTTAAGATGATTTTAGAGGCTTTTCGGATTTTACCCAACACAACTAAGTACATAATTTGCAGTTTATTACTATCGAATCGAATCGATTTATTTTATTACAATCACTCCACTACTCGTAAACTATGCTGCCTGAGTTTTGTGTCCTGTGGCTGGTGGAGGGCAACTGTATCCTTGTGGGTACGCGACAAAGTGAACGAGAGCTCAACACGGGTGTCACTATAGTACCTGTCTAGTATACAAATAGCCAAAAACATTTTTCGACAACCCCCAGTTAATTGAAAAAAGAACATGTAGCAATTAACTCCCTTATGTATCATATTTTAAAAAAAGATTGTATTCACTTATTATGATATAAAATTCATATCTGAATAATTTGGATAATATTTTCACACACGCACACTTTCTTCTATATCCACATTATGTTTCTTACTTCTTTTCTTTACTGAGTGGCGGTACCGCCATCCGTGACGTGAGTCACTGCAGGGTGCCACCTGAAAATCAGCGTTGAGCATATATTTGCTCAACTATATGCTGAGGTGGAGGCCCTTTTGGCATGGGCACATGAATATTATTATTTTAACGTTTTATTTTTCTTTTTTAATACTTTATATGTTATTCTTGTTTTGTTTATTAATTTATTATTGTATTCATAAATACTGTGTTCTTATTATGTATTTTTATATACTTGTATTTGTGTGGCTATTTGTCGAATAAATGTGTTTTCTTTCTTTCTTTCTTCTTTCGGCGGCGCCTTGTGAATCATTTTATTGGGAACTTGAACTGATCAAAAACTGCATAAATTCAAGATTATCTTGAAGTCAATATTGTGAATGTTTTTTTTACATAATATTTATAGATAGATACATAAAATCATAAATACCTAGTACTGACGTTAATTTTTTCTATCATGTCGAATATTTTTCAAGACGATACCATTAACAGTTGATTGTAACGATATTTAAGTGACGCTCTCACTCAATCCATCTAAGTACATTATGACTTTTGTTCTGATATTTTAGATTTTGAATGCGTCTATGCTTTTGAACGCCTACTCTGAATGTTCCAAAATATTTGATGCTGACTGTAAATAAAGTCTTAAATTTAATTTTATTGTTTTATTTCACGCTCGTCCTTTATCTTTCAATGTTTGGTATAAATAATTAAGGTACCTATTACTTCACTTTTACTAAATAATCCGATTTATTTATTTTTACACTAAACGATAACGATCGCTCAATTTCTTTAAGTTTGTAACTATTTGGTTTTTTTCTTGAATAAGTGAGCAAACGAGCTGACGGATTACCTTATGGTAAGCAATCGGCGCGGCCCATGGACACCCGCAACACTAAAGGAGTTACGAGAGCATTACCGGCCTTTTTGGGACAGATATTTAAGGATTGGGAAGGGATAGGGCAGGGGGAGGGATTGGGCCTCTGGTAACCTCACCCACACGGCGAAACACAACGCTGTGGTTGTTGCACGCCGGTCTTCTGTGAGGCCGTGGTATCACTGCTTGAATTATGGAATTACTTTTAGACACTTCAATTGTGTCTACTTTAAGTTAATCGCATCCACGGCCCTACAACAGCTCAAAATTTTGACGCAGCCAGAACATAAGTAGAGGTGATAATTAAATGCATTATGAAGATAAATAATAAAATAAAACAGTTTTACTTTACCCGAGTGGATATTACACAAAACATCGAAATTAACATATTATTTGTGTATCAGCCTTAATGTGCCCAGAAGGGGTTATCATTAATGGACATTTTAACTGCTTTCTGCTAGTTATGTTATCCACCAGATTCAGTAGACTCCGTGCAACTGAGACAAAAAAAAAGGCGAATTGCGTTCTGATAATAAAACTGGAGGCGAACCCCTTCGTGTGTATGGAAGGGATATTCACCATGAAGTGATGACGTTTTGTCTGGCACGATGGTTTACTATTAGGGTAGGATTTAATACGGTGTGGAAGATTACTTATGTAAAGCTATTAGAATTAATGGTTTATTTAAAAAATTTTGGTCGTTTAGCAGTGCTCCAGGTAGTTATAAGTACTATAATTAGTGATTCAAAGATTAAAAAGGAAAGAAGGAACGCACGTAATGTGATTTTGTGCCAATTCATTAGCTGTTCCCGCGGCTTCGCTCTCGCTACGACAGATGTTGTTTTACCTGTTTTAATGTAAGATATAACTTATTGCCCGGATTTCATTATTGCAAGGAACACCTGGAGGGCACATAAAAAACATGGTGGCGGTACTTGGGAAGTAGTATCCTCTTACTGCAAAGCAATGATGCTAGCAAAGGAGGAGGCAGAGCGCGTGAGAGAACTATCCTCCTCCACCCCAGCCCCCGCAGTAGAAGACACTCCGTCAGGGGTCAAACGACGATCTCCGGCCAAGTGTAGGAATGCGGACGTTCTGAACCGGACCTGAATAACAACTGTACTACATCTGGAGAAGTAAGCATGGACCAGTTACATGCAAAATTCGGGGTGAACTACTTAGACAGATCCTTAACACGCTCACGTAGGCGAACTGAGAGATAGGGCGAATGCTTTATTTTCATTGTGTAAATGTTAGCTGTGTAATTAAAGTCACTTTTCATAAATAAATAAATTATGCAGAGTTACCAAGACATTCGATTCAGATGACTTGATTTACTTACACTATTCTGTTACAGTGCAGTTAAATTTATTTTGTACAAATAATTAAATATGATTAAATTTCTTGGTTGTAATTAACAAAAAGTCACATAGAGAGTTTATAACATTCACAACAGCACTCTAAACATGTAAACATATAACATTGAGCAAGAATTAAGGATAGTGCATGCCAGAGCCAACAGTGTGCAAGCACGATGCGTGCGCTGAAACTGGAGTGCGCTTGCGCCGCTATCAATGAGTGACGTGTCAACGTAGTCGCAGACCTGCTCGTCCCAGTTATCAGTAAGTTCGTGAATATTCTTGGAGTTCGAGACCAACTTGTGGCGCATCAACTTCTTCACTCGGTTGATCCGCACAGGATCGTCGTCAAATACCTCGCTCGCTCGCATCCAAGGTATAACGCTAGAAGGTGGCTCCACCATCACCACGGTAGGCACATAGCGCGTCACCTGCAGCAGTACTGGTGGCTTCTTCGTCGTCGGGTCGATATGCAGACCTTCCTTTCGTTGGTCTTTCTTCATGATGGATAGTCTGGATTTTTCAGCAAGTGATAGCACCGTGTTATTGATAGTAGTACTACTTGAGGTGGTAGTGATGACAGTGGTGGTGGTGATACGGGTGGTGGTGGAGGTGGTAGTGGTAGTGGCGGAGGTGGTTGAAGGTGGAGTCCGCACGGTGCTGGCGGCCGTGGATGGTGGGGCGCGCGATCTATGCTCGAGGACGTTCTCAGCTTGATCGTCGTCCTCGTCGTCGAAGCGCCTGCGAGGCGGCAGCAACATGCGCCGGTTCGTCCACAGCGAGTCCAGGAAGCTTGTAGGCGTCGGCCGGTGAGCCCTCTCTGAGCACACACAACGAGCTTTTCGTTAGCTTTTCTGATCTTCAAGCCGAATCACTTATAGATCACGATCGCGTAAACATTAGGAACAAACACAACGTTTGCCACACCGTTTTAATAAAATATTACTAAGACTCATTGTAAATGTAAACGGCTGTCATGTCTTGCACAATTTAAGCATGTTTTTTGTGGCCTATATGAACGTATGTACTATGTACATATGGCGGTGTAATTGTCCAAATACCTCAAAAGTCATTGACATCGTTCGTAAGATATCATCAACAAATCGTTTGTGGATCTATTTACCTTCAATGATGTATTAGGGTAAACGAGTGAACGTATCTTATTTCAGTGGATGTTCTGATAGGTGCTGATAGACTTGGTCATTCGAATAAGCATTAATAATTTGCCCTTCTTAACATTGGGGATCTTAAAAACGAATCGAGTTAATGCCTAAAGGGAGGAGCAGCTATAAGTGAATGCTCAAGCTTATCAGCACGTCATGGTAAACTATTTAAAAGACGAATATATTGTACGAACGTACCTGTTGTTCTTCGGAGAAGTGAGGGTAGTTTGCTTTTGATACTGTTAACTCTCTTCATGTCATAGTAGTCGTCATAGTCGTCGTACAACTTGGGCCTCAACTTGTTGCCGGGCTGCCCCCTCGTCGTGTCCTCATCTTCATCCTCACTCAAGGGTCGAAAGCGGTTAACAGGTCGCGTGTCTGGCGGCCGCGTTCGACGAGGTGGCTCCTTATCCACGTCTCCCTTTAGGCGCCGGTCCAAATCTAGTTCATCGTCGTACGCTAAATCGAGCTCACTACTCTTTCTCTTCAACTGCCTGTCTCTTGGTTTTCTACGACGCCTTGTGCTAGCTTCGTTTAAAAATTTAACATCTTCTTCAAATTCTTTACTCTTATCATCTGGAAAGTCATCTTTATCTAAATGGAAATAGTCTTTCCTATCTATATCACTAACATCATCTTTCCTATCACGACTATATTTTATTGCTCTTCTGGATGGTGACGCTTCGTCTATAACGGGGGCTTCATTTTTGAGCCGACTCCGATGCTTGGCGTGGCGGTGATTTGGCCTGAACTTGGGAAATTCCTCATCATCATGCTCAAACTTGTGAATAGCGTCTGCAGTTGCACTGTCCACGGGAATCATCAATCCTCTTTGTTTTCTTCCTGATTTTCTCCACACTTCTGAGTCATCGGAATCCTTGATAGGCTTTTCAGTTTTTACTGTGAAACAAATGATGAAATATGTATGTAGTGTGTACATGTTACATTATTAATATATAATGATAAATCAAATAGAGTGATTCTAAACTCGTCATAGATGATCCTACAAGAATTATAATGTGCAAACAGATTCTGCCTATCTCCCTATATGAATTCATAACAAAACGTACGTTTAAACACAATAGCATATTCAACATTATAATAAGGTTTATAAAGAGAGTCTGTTAAGTAGATGTTTGGTGTGCTTACTGCGTGGTTCTTCTTCGTATTTGTAGTCGGGCGAGGCGGGCGCGTCCGGGGATTGGCCGCGGTAGTCGTCCGAGGCGGGCGCGGCGACGTCGTTGGACGCCTCGTAGTCCCCCGCGGCCACGCTGCCGTACGCCGGCATCTTCACGCCGGAATAGTCGACGTAGCGCGCCGCCGACACCGCCGCTGCACACGTCAGCGCCAGCAGCAGCGCGCGCGCCATCGCACGCTCCCGTCGCCCCCCGCGCTTCTGTTAATCTCACTCTATATTGCTGACTTGCCACTGTGACTCTCTGTTGCCCACACAAATTGCGGCATATTTTTACAAATGTAACTATAAATTTGACATTGAAAGACAATTATGTGTTTCTATTTGTTGACAATTCTAGTGAGTAAGTAATTACCGGCCTGTATTCATCTTTCGACTTATCATAATGTATTAAGATAATATCTACCAGTTATATATGAAACAATATTTTATAAAATATGAACCTTATATTGTTCTAAGTCAACACCAGTAACAACAGTTTCTATTAACTATGATAATGATTTTATAACACGGGCCAGACAGAAGCAACCTCATGATTCGATAAACTTCATTCACAAATCACTAGTGTCAAAAGTAATTCAATCTGACTGTTACCGTCGAAATTATTAAAATGATTTTTTTAATAAATTTATAAAACAACTACAATAATGTAACTCATTACTTTATTTCCAAATCGACGATGAAGTAACTGGTGATACCTACACATCTATTGACGCTATGAGTGGGACAAAAGAAAAAGTAAACAAAGAAGAGCCAGACTGCGGTTGCTATGCGGATTCACACACGAAGAAGACTTGCCCTCCGACGCGGAACGTGACACATCCCTTGGTAGCTAGCCATCCAACCTGTAGCGACTGTAGCACGTGCCTGTAGGCCGCCGCTCCGCCTGCTCACCTCGCCTGTTCTGTTGCAGCGGTACTATGAGTTCACGCAGGAGGAAATGAAAGCGCTAGAAGAATGCGACAGAGAGAGCTTCTACCAGCGCTGCCTGCCGTTTAGCACTGTTTTGGCCACTTTGACGTATACTGCCATAAAGAACGGTAAGAGCACTTCAATACTTGTACTTCGACTCGTAGTGTTCGGTAGGTACACCACGAAAATTTTCATAGAAGTAAGAATTTGTCATAATAGTATAAAACACTTTGGTCAAAATAGATGTTTTTCATGGATTTTGGTGGTTGTTCCTTCCAACGACTTCTTACTTCTATGAATGTTTTCAGATTTCCTGCGCCCCAACCCACACTTCGGCATCGTACCTAAAATGATGTCGGCGATATTCACGGGTTATGTCCTGGGGCGTGTCTCGTACATGGACCACTGCGACCAGAAGCTGCGGCAGCTTCCGGCAAACAGTCATCTCGGCAACGTCATGAGGAAGTACTACGCTGACAACATCGCTTACAATTCTGGAATAACAGACGCTAACAAAGCGGGTTCAAAAAAATGATTCGTTTAAAAAGCGTATTGTGCCGGTCATTTGTAAGAGTACCGATAGTTACTGTAACTACCATTTGGTGTCTATTAAATTATAACGTGTTTATTTTTAATTAACCAACAATCTCACAGGGCCGGATTAATGACATGCTAAACAATAACTTTTGTTCTAAGGCCTAATTTACGGAGGCGCGTCGCGTCTTGCGGCCTGTCATACATTGCTCATTATGTGCTTACATTTGTTTTTGCTCGGGTGATGACTCGGCCCGCAGCTGCAACGTACGACAAACGCAGTGCACTGCGTGAGTACCTACCTGCACAACGCGGCCTAAGACTTCTAAATCTATCAGATATTCGACCAAAAATTTTTCATACAAAAATAAAAATATTTCGATAAAAGCTCATACATACGTGTTATGGAAACCACATTGCAAAGTGATTCAGGAAGTTTGGATGAAATAAAACAGGAACATACAGGAGGTAATTTCCATTTTTTTTTCATCATTAAATGTTGTGCCAATTTTTATCGGTTCAAAAGTTAAGATCCTTTTTTTTTACTCAGGTAATTAATTTTTTTTCCTTAAGAACCAATTATAAGCAGACCATTACCAAAGTATTTTATATGTTTTAACTTTGTGCAAGATACAAGAATTATCCTTTCTTATCATCATAGTTTTTTTCGGCAAAACATCACCCGTTTTTTGCCTCTTAACCAAAACAGTCGGTTTGGCAAAAATGTTTTCGATTTTTATGAAGTGTACCTGCGTGTGAGAGAACCCTGCCTCACAGAAAACCAGAGTGAACACAACAAGAGCGTTGCTTCGAAGTTTGAATGAACTTACCAGAGACCAAATTTTTCGATTCCTTCCCAACCTCTAAATCCCCAAAATCATTTATCCCCAAAAGGACGCAACGCACCTCCAACTCCTCTGGCGTCAATTATTGACGCCAGAGGAGTTGGCTGAGATAAATAACGATGATAAAAAGGTCCACTTTTTGCACAAAGTCCAAAAATATAAATAATGCTAAACACTGATACCCCCGAAAGATTGATGAGATATAATTTTTGAACCATTAATAATTAGTGCAACGTTTCCAGAACGATTAGAAAATGACCTTCTCTACGTCCCCTTTCCATTTGATCCATACTACAAGTGACAACCTACAAGTTTATCTTAAAAAATGTATTTAAATTAAAATACATAGATAAACAACGACGCATATGAATCAAAATAAATCTCTAGTTTATTAGCAGTTTATCAAACTTTTTATTTTTGGAGGAAAACTAAAATACCTATAATCTGAAGAAATTTGGAAAATCGTTGAACAAAGTTGTTGATTATGATGTTATCGAGGTTGTGACTTAATGAAAAATAAATATCAGAAGTAAAAAATGACTTCATTTATTGAACTTTAAAAAACAAAACTGAAAACCAAAATACAAGTAGATTATTCACCTCAGTTTACCACCATTTTTGATAAAAAAAAAAATCGGTGCTACGAATCCTTTCCACAATATTTTTCTTAAATTGATTGACCTACACATTTTCCACGGCTGCACAGCAATATATACAAAACCAGAACGAATTGATATGGGAAGATCTTTCAAAGCAAGACCACGATAAACTAGTTTAGCTTAAAATGTAGCCGTTTTGGACCTGTCTAGCGTTATTTTGCCATGTACTTAGCCTTGGCACCAGGGGGCAAGTACAAAGAGTTTTTTTTTATTAGTGTTCTATATGAATCAACTAGCAGTGTGGTGGCACCGCCAATTTCTTTATTCGCCATCTACCAGGTAATAGGAAAACTACTGCCTTGAGCTTTAGATTTAACTTTGAAGTTATGTGGCAATCTTACGCTAGGTGTCACTAAGTTAGATATGTACAACAAAATAGTGGTCAGAATTACCAAGGTGTTGTAGTTTTCTGACATAATTAAGTAATCAAAACATATTACTGAGGCAGAATAAATAAGAGACAAATTATAACGAACAAATTTATTACCAAAATTCAATTTCTATTCATTTTTTTTTTTTTTTTGCTGGTTTGGTTTATGTTTTTGTAAAAAGAAACATAATTGCTTTGGCAAAACAATGAAACAAACTTCCGTAACATATCTTTATTGGTAATCTTTATATTAAATTTGTTGGTGACTCTTTTTCTACACATACATGCATGCTTGCGACTTCGTGTGCATGGAATACTCGCAAGTTTTGGTACTTTACCTATTTCATTTTATATTTTAATATGTATAATTACTTAGAATCGCTTCTGTAGGTAATTACGTTTTCTCTATAGTGAGATCTTAACAGACTTACAGAGCTACTATGTCATAAAAGTATTTTTTTGCTACAAAACCCCTTTCAGCGTCAAGATTTTCGAAAAAAAGTATAACTCTCAAGTCGTATTTCGGGTCTTCAACTTTCACTTTAGTCACCAAAATCAAAAAGATGTAATAGTACCTACCAAAATTTTACCCTAGGATTAGGATAGGATTGCTAGGATGAATTAATTCTACGTCAGTTAATGTTTCCAGTTTTGTCATTCTTTGAAAACCGTTGCACCGAAATCCAATTTAATGTATCGAGAGTCCTAAGAATTAAAAGCGTAGTTTCCAACCGCTCCAATAAAATTATCGGTAAAAAGTTATTCGTCCTAACTCGGGCTTTAAAATTTTACCTAAATCTGTTGAGTGGTTTTAATAAATATTAACTACGCTCAAACAAAGTGTAGCACGTATGATCTAGCTCGACCGAAGTGATACTAAGACCTTGCAGAAAACAAGGGTGAAACGGAGCTGTTTCGCTGTCTGAGTGAGGTCATTTAATTTTGAATCCCCAATTCTAAAATTTTGGGGATTAGGTCCCCAAAATACCAAAACTTCAAATCCCGTGTTACAATGGGCTACGCCGAAAGCTTGGGTACTTAAATCTGATCCTTTCGCTTGTTTATTGACATATCCAATAATATATCCATATCAAAATGCGAAATTATTTGTTGCCATACAAGTGCCATGCAAATGCAACATTTATAACATAATATATAGCGGTCGCCCGCGACTTCGCCCGCGTGAACGTCTAATTTACATTTATTCAAGTTTTTTTTTAACATACAAACCTTCTCTGGACTTCCACGAATAATGGCTGCATTTTTTTCACGAATAGTGAGGCTAATCCCTTCCCAATCTCTAAATCTCAAGAACTCTAAACTCCAGAAGCCGGTGTTCAGCTTCTCTTCTCTTTGCACTTACTCTGTGCTGGGCAGTAACTGTTTGTGCGCTTCTGCGCTACGTCAGATGCGAATCAGATCGAAAACGAAAATATGTAGGTACCTATAAATAAAAACTACGACCGAATTCAAATAGCGCTTATGCACAAGTTTGATACGAAAAACTACTTTATATTGAGGCCAGTTAGAACCTTGTAAAATACTTTGGAACATTCAATAATTTTTTAGGGTTTCATACAAAATAAATTTTTGTTATAAATTGGCAAATACTAAAAAATATTAGTAAATAGGTACTAATTTTTTTAATAACGTACCATAGTAAAAATAATTTCATAAAAAAGTTGTCAGGATGAACATTACTTGCAAAAAAAATGTGTACTTATTTAAATGTTAAATAGTGGGGTAATACTCGGGTGGGTCGCACCAGTAGACGAATGTTCATTCAAATAATACTTAGCCCACATTGGACAGACAAAAACATCTCTAGAATGGCGACGACCAATCGGATAACGGATGATACATAATGTGTAAATTATCGTAATTATTAATTAACAATTAGATCTTGGATACTGCACACCATATTTTCACAGCTTGGGATCGGATAGTAGCGTGGAACCGCTCATACTCTCAGCTCATAGAGCTTGCGGATATTGTGATGTAATTTCATTTTTTGCGAATTAAATGGCATTTGGACCGGTGCCGCATTGTAGTAATTCTGCTTAGTATTGATTGATAATTAAAACTTTTCCCAAAATGTCATTGTTTTATTCCAAAGTTTGCTCCGCCTTCTATTTTCCTAAGTTGTTTGTTATTTTAAATATCTTACATTTTTTCTGTTTCATTGCCTTCATCATATGAGTTTCCTGTAAACTTATGTGGCACTAAGTTTGTACAATTTTTTTCTGATTGATTTTGATTCAGGCACATCCTGTAAGGCACAATGCTGCTCATTAATGCCCCTAGTATGTCTTGTAGGTAGTCGTGGTATCTCAGTTACATGAGTAGGTACAAACGTCGTTATACATAATTAATATACCTTTATCACACGAAAGTTTAATTACAAAGAAGATAAAAAGTGCTTAAAGAATAACAGAACGTGGAGGTTTTGCATCAGTTCATCTATCTGGTGTCTCTTGACTTATCAAACAACACTGTACGAACAACAATATGGGACGCAGTGACACAAACCAGTTGGCGAACCCAAATGTTTAAGACTCAAACCAAGATACAGAAACTGTGGAATATATCTTGGAAAATAAGACATTTGCGCCGAATCCAGAAATATAACAATAACGAAGAGAAAAGTATAATTCAGGTGTTCCAAATAGAATAGCATGTTTAATGCATATTACTCTGGTTTTATCCAAGTTTATACGAAGTTTGATGCGAATCAAACAATTCAGTTAGGCTAATCAGCATAAATTGTAAGCCTGCGCAGCACTGATGACTGATGACTCCAGGCACGATAAAAATATCATCTCATTTGAAAGAGAAACATTCCATCCATTTGTAAAAATTTTGGGGAAATGAGAGATTATAATAATATAATGTTTTCGTTTTCATAAGTTCGCAGATTTCGTACTTTGGCGCCATATTCATCATGCAGGTTTCTTAGGACTGATATTTGACACCATTTGAGTTATAACCGAAGCAAAAACTCTGACCCCCTTATTACAAAACAAGATTTATCTTTAGTCCAGGTTTAAACCATTGAGTCGGGTTTTGAATTTTGAATCTTATTCTCACCTAACTTCAATTCGAAATACAAAAACTGGCCCAATGGTTTAGTCCTAGACTAAAGTAAAACCTTGTTTTGTAATAAGGCCGTGACTGATTATACTCATCAGATATAAAATTCTAATGCCAGTATAGATCTTCAATTCAATATTGAGATACATTTTTATTCCTAGCCCGCGATTGATAATAAACTTTTAATTATCAACCGCGGGCTTACTTACTATTCGACTATATGATTCTGTAAATGTTTGTAAATTAAACCTTCATTAATATTAAAACTCAGATTCTTTAACAAGCTTCATATTATTTGGGTATAATCATATATATAAGGACTCGACGCCAGGCAGCCGGGGTCGGGTCTAATCGAGTTACTTACGTTTTGTTAAAAATAAAACGAAAAATAAAGTGTTTCTTAAGGAAAGTTAGGAAAGTTTATTATCATGAGTACAATCACAGTTTAAATATCGGTCACTAATTATCAGATGTCCCTTTCCAATAGTTATAATAACTAAATCATAATGAAATATTTATTGTTTTTGAATGTAAAAAATACTACTCAATGTTTTTAACCACTTAGGCAAGTTTTAATTTAGACTTGGCAGCACAGTTGAGGGGGTTACCTGTGGCAACATTGTTTGCCAAGTGTCAACAGTCACATGTCAGAAGTCTTTCTTGACACTTGACAGATATAAATAAATTTTAATGTCAATTTGGTTAGGTAATGTAGGTACCTACCAGCCCCATATAGATAGATATCATACACAGACACCCGACAATACGGTGAAATTGAAATGAACTAGTACGCGGAGTGCGAGTGCTGTTTATAAAATATTATTTTGTTAATGTTATTAGTCTGCTAAGAGCATGAACGACCCCAACTCATATGGGTATCAGGAAAACGCGACGGAGCTGCCGGTTGGAGAGCAGCAGCGTCCAGCGGTGCTCCCGGTAAGGTTATTTGCTTGTGGATGATGTTGCCGGTCCGTGCTATGCGTAACTGTGGACTTGTTGGTTCAGTCGGAGTACAAGTTCACTCCAGACGAGCTGCGCGTGCTGGGCGAATGCAACAAAGAGAGCTTCTTTCAACGATCCCTGCCTCTCGGCACCACGTTTGGCCTAGGGGCCTATTACGCTGTACAAAAAGGTTAGTATTTGCTTATTGTTAGCTGTGTTAACATTACAATTATTTCAAAAATGTGATAAGTTTAGTAACTGACTAAATGAGACATTTAAAAACGTAATATAAAGTAATCATTGCATAATATCCTTCAGTGGGTTTGTACTGATATTGCCAAATTATCTGTACAAGTTTTATTCTCTTATTAAAGGTAAAATTTTTGTTCTAACACCAATAAAACAGTGAAAACCGATGGAATGAAAATTGCCAGTTTTCTTTTATACACAAGAGATGTTGGGTACACACACAGTAAAAAATATAATTGTACTAAAATAATAATGTTTCTACACTTTTTTTATATAGTGAAACATTATCTTTTTCATATTTTTTTCAAACAGTTGGTGATGTTTGTTGAACTAAAATATATTGAAAGGACTATTAAGGTTCTATGGACATTCTCTGACCTGCCTTTATTTTAAAGTTGACAGATGTGTATATACACTAACACCTCCATTATTAGGAACTCATATGGAACAACTAAATCCGTTTCAACTGACATTTTTAATAAAATCAAGTGTAGGTAGTCTTAATACTATTATAAAGCTGTAGAGTTTGTTTGTTTGAACATGCTAATCTCCGAAACTACTGGTTGGAATTGAAAAAATATTTTTGTGTTTGTTAGTCCACTTACTGAGGAAGGTGATAGGCTATAAAACATCACGCTACAATATGCAGGAGCGAAGCAGCGGGTGAAGCCTCAGGACAGTACCTAGTTTAATAATAGTTTCCTTTATCACTCATCTGTCATAATTTGGTAACTGATACTACATTTTTATTAAACTTTCATTATTATTTTATAAATTATTAAGTTTCTAACTTGTACTATTAGAGCCCTATGAAATACTCCACTAAATAGAAACTTCCAGTGTATTCTGTACTTATATTTGTTATATTTTACTAAATGAATAAATTATAACTAATCCTAATGATAAACTTCATCAGGGCTTAGAGGGTTTCCATTAATAAATTGCTGTTTACAGTTTTTTTTTTATGTAGTAGGTTGGCAAACAAGCAGACGGATTACCTGATGGTAAGCAATCAGCGCCGCCCATCGACACCCGTAACGGAGGAGTTACGAGTGCGTTGCCGACCTTTTAGGGATTAGGGATTTGGAGATTTAGGAACTGGAGAGGGGTTGGGAAGGGGAAGGATTGGGCCTCCGGTAACCTCACTCACATGTTGAAACACAACACTGTTGTTGTTTCACGCCGGTTTTTTGTGATCACTCCGGTCGAGCCGACCTATTCGTGCCGAAGCATGGCTCCCCCACACTTAAAGAATAAATTGCTGCTTACAGTGATTGTAATGCAATCCAATAAAATGTTATTATTATGGCCCCATAGTACATAGTTTAAACTTCAACACCATTGAGGTGAATTAGTTTATGGATTTTACTGGCCACAGAAAAATATCCATTCAGTTTTTTCTTAGAGGTATGCACTTTGTGTAGAAAATTAATTTCTACCATCCAGTTTGTCTCATCTGCCACAAAGCCTTATTACTAGACTTGAGTATAAGCTGGTAGTATGATCCCTAGTGCAAAATAGTTAGTTTGGTACCGAAAGTAGTACAAAGCTTAAAAAATATTGGTAAAATATTGAAAGAAATAATAAAGATCAAATAATTAACAATGTTTAATAAAAAGTTACCTATAATTTAAGGAACATTTTAAAGATTATTTTAACATACCTGTACAGTGCAAGCACAGCACAATTTGCCAATAAGGCGGATTGCATTTTACCTGCGCCGGTGAATTTACTACAAGAATAGCAATCAATCCGCGTGCACTCATCTTTTATACAACAATACTTTTATCAATAAATATCAATCACATTTATCAGCATATCAATCAGCATCAACTCAAGGTGTTGTGTTGCAAACTATACAATAACTGAAATTTCTCCATAACTTTACATAATAAAAATATAAATATTCTACATATTATATTCTATACTCTACAACATGTGATAGTAGAACAGCATCTATTAAATTAATGAGCAATGAATATTTTATTATTACAGGCCACCTTAAGCCCAACCCTCGATTTGGTGCGTTCCCAAAAATTGCGTTGTCAGTATTGGTTGGCTACTTCATCGGGAAACTGTCCTACCAGCAAGCATGCGCCGAGAAGTTGATGGCACTGCCTGGCAGCTATATCGGCCAGCTTCTGCGAGAACGGAAAGAGCAAAAGATTGGAGGAGGCAGGTAAGAAACACGCAGCTGCACACTTACCATTTTAAGCTTTGTATGTATTTTAACACTGAAATATGCTTCATTACTTACTAGTCGTATTATCTTACTTCTTACTCTTATTATAAATGCGACAGTTACGATGTTTGGATGTTTGTTAATCAATCGCGTCAAAACGGCTACACGGATCTAGATGTAATTTGGCACAGGCATAGAATACACTCCGAAATAGGACATAGGCTCCTTTTTATCAACATAACACGCGGGCGAAGCCGCGGCCGGAAGCTAGTTAAATTAATAAATGCAATTTCCAGTCGGAGCACAATGGGAGCTAAGCCTGGAACTACGATGTTTGGCGCTAACCCAAGTGACATATACTCCGACGCAGGCCCCGGCAGTTCACTTGACTTGGACACGGACCGTCCACTCTTCAACGACGACACCTACCGTCCGGGCTCTTCGGGTAATTATAACTAACTAAATACATCACTGTACTCTTATAGGACCTAATAAACCTAGCTTCACTGACGAACAGATGGCCAAACTATTATTATTATTATGACATTTTAAAAGTACCTGTTTATTCTACTCTTTTGATTTAAGTATTAAAAATAACTGAAAAGCTCTCCTAGTCACAGCCAACTGCTCCGCGGCCGCGACGTTCACGTTGCTCATGAATAAGAGTCACATTCTTACGTGAAACTAGAATTGCTTTTCTCAGTTATTTCACGTGATTAAGTCTTTATTTTCAGTAATTTAGTATGTTTCACGATAGTTTCTATTCATAAATGATTTTGGTTCTAAGTTTAGAAAGCCGCAATGCGTTTTATAATCAATAAATAACAATATAAATAAACCCAGTATACGCATTTCTAACATATTGAATCTGTGGTTAAATGTGTAATCCCAAATCGAGTACAATACTTCTTGGTAGGATAATGGTCGTGCAACATCTATCAAACATTTGAAAAATAACGAAAGAGGGAAATGAATCGGTGTGATCGTTTAATATAATGGTTAAGGATAAAATAGTGAGAAAATAACAGAGCCAGCCACCTTTTACTATATGAAATAATCACTGTAAAATTGGTGTTCGCGATGCGATCCTGCGGGGTAAACGGAATGAGGCACCGCGACCTCGGCCCAGAGTAGAAGAAGGAACAGGGGTGTTTTTAGTCAGTAAGAGTCTGACACTCCCTCCCGCCCTGCCCTAGGCGGGAGAAGTCATTTGATGAATTTTACCTCATAAAAAAACCATACTTTCTTCTTTTTCTACTATGCTCCTTGTCACCGCTACAACAACTTAAAACAAACTGATAGAAATATTTTAAATAAATTATTTCTCTACAATCCAAGCTTAGCAAATCATTAAGTAAATATAAAAGGGAACTTCAGTACAACCAGCTACTAAATAATTACATTGTCGTGTTACACACGTACTTACATTGATTGGCCCTGACACCCACAGCGCCAGTCCCATCGCCGGAGGTCGGCACCAGAAGTCCAAGTCTTTCCTACGATGACTTACGTCGTAAAAATAGAAGTGACTACAAAGATGCCAAACAGGATCCATACAGGTAAATATTGAATTTATTCTCAAGTTCACTAGGCTTAACTTTTTTCTTCCTACCAATATTGTTGTACATAACTTCTGCACGCAGGTAAAAGTTTCCGGGCTAACATCTTGCTTGAGTCGGATCACGAAGCAATTTGTAGAGACACTGAGAGAAATGGCTTGCGCTGCGCTAATACAATGTAACAAACATCTGTTTTATGCGTAGTAATGCTTGTATACTTGCTTACTCGTATTTAGTGTAATTTTTTTCACCTTATTTTGTTACTTTTTAATTATGATATACTTAGTATGTGACTATCACTCAAGAATAATATCATCATTATTATTTTTATATTGTACCTAGTTGATGTAGCCCTTCTATATGTTTTTTTGGAAAAAGACGGTTATATAGTTTACTAGCATGCGGTTATATATTAATTATTTTGATTTTATTTTGCGTGGAAGTTGTTATTTTATTTTTTGGGTTAGTAGATATTTGGCCAGCTGTAGCGCGAGTGGAGACGATATTTTTCAAAACAATCGAGAAAATATGAAAATAAAATGGTACAGACGACTTGAGTGAGTTCGAAATGATGGATAGTTTAAAAGAAAAGCATACGGTTAAGTAGTCTGAAAAAAATTTGCAAAATGTGTCCGAAAAATGGTAACTACACGTTTATGGACTTATTGTTGGTCCACGGCCTCACAGAAAACCACTGTTAAAACAAAACCTTTTTTTTCACATCGACTTACTTGCAAATTTGCGGCTTAAATCCGAAACCGTTATTTCAAATCAATCTTAGTTGAAAAATATCGTGTCAAAATATAACATACTTCATTACCATTTAGATACATCAAAGCACAACTCTGCAGTACACTAAAAGCAACTAAGGGCCTGTTTATCTATATATGGGATAGCCATTAAAAACTAAATTAAACTGGAAAAAGATCGTAATTTGTAAAAACTATACTTATGTGAAAGTAGTGAAACAGGTCTAAACTGTATCAGATATCGCGATTGTTTTGAAATATTTTCGCTACTAGTCTATGTATAATAGGCGCCAGGCGAGGATTAGTAACATGGTGTGTCGCTTGTTGCAGGACGGAGCTGGGTGCGCCGCCGCCCGTACAACGCATGCGCACCGACCCCCCGGCGCCCGCGCCACCTTCTGCGCCGACCAACAAGTACGGTGACGTCATGGAATAAGGTGCCGCCCCTCGTGCAAGTCTTGTTATTACGTAGTTACGAGTCCACAACGCGTCATACGTTCGTAAATCGTGATATAATGAAGAGTAGGTACTCCGGTACACTTCTTGTGGTCTTTAATTAAGGCTTGACCCTAGTATGCATATGTGTCAGTTAAACAAGTTTACCTTTTTCACATTGTACAAAACTGTTTTAATTGACAATGGAAATAAATAGTTGAGTTTTATAATACGTTGTTTTATTTCAACTGCTGGATAAGAAGCAAAACATACATACACACTACTTAGCCATAAAGACTGTTCACAACATCATTGATTTGATAACAAGAGAAAGGAAATTTTATTGAAATAATAATAACGTGTGCCAGTGTAATTTCCCTAAAAATTATCCAGGCCATCGTAATCAAGTTTATACAAAATATTTATTTTTATTACATCTACTGCAATAAAAAGGTGAAAGAACCAAGTTAAATGAAATGAATTCCAGTGGCATTGCAGTTGGTAAGTTATTCATATCATTAGGGTACACACATAACCTGCTTCAAAACTTCTAATCGAAGATAAGTAATGTCATAAGTATGAGTACCGATATCGACTTGAACACCCATCGAGATATTACAGCCGTTATTTTAAAATCTAAAAGATTGTGATGTGTCTAATAAATTGCGTATTCAATGATGCGGATAACATTTCTGGTATCCAAGGCTCCAACAGAAAATAAAGTATTTTTGTATCATCATCGTTTGTATCAGTCACTTGATTAGGTTACACTGAAATATCTAAATTATGTAACAAACCATTGTGAAACTGATTGAAATAGAGTAACCATGGGGTTTCTTGCTCGTTCTTCTCCATAGGAATCTACACTTTGGAACGAGCAAATAGCTTCACTAGAGGACAGACGGACTGACTGATACATGTAAGGTTAAACTTTTTGATATAATATATATTTTTGCTTTGTAGCAGTTTTTCCTATGAAAATGTATATATTATTCAAAATGTCTGGCAGTTATCTAAGGAAAGTTTTTAACAATAATAGACGTTAAAAAAGGTGCCCATTTTGGTCTATTTAAAATAAAGAATTTGATTTGATTTGACAAGCACTGCTGTGAATTGAAAGCGACCTGATGATCCGGCTCTGCAAATTCGGCTTCCATGCTTCATTAGATCGGTTTTAAAATATATGCAACTTAAATACTTTTCATAACTAAAATTGCTCATAGCGTCCATCGTATATTCAGGGCAACCCTATTGGGACTAAGTACCAACACAACCCCATAATTATATCATTAATCGAATCTGTCAGTAATCAGAGAAAAAGGTAAATAAAAAACACAGTATATGAATGAAACAATATATCCAAATATTTTATAATAAAATTAACATAATAACAATAAACTCGATATCGCAAATAACAGAGGCATAATTATTTATAAATTGCATTTGTGTCAAGTTGAAAAAAATTACAAGTAAAACGTAGGTAATTGTACTTCAAACGATTCAATTCATTTAATGCATAAAAGCTTATGCAACGGGGTTGTCACATCTGACATAATAAGACCCCGAAATATATATATAAAAAATCGAGTATCAAATAATAAAATAACAGATTTGATTATAACATAGGTTCATAATATAACACCAATATAAGCAAAAACAACATATACCTATATAAAAATCTTTTACTGTACATATATTCAGATGCAATAGCCATCAATTTATTCCTGGAGATGCAAGTTAAAATGTCGGCCGAAATTTATAATACTACTTATTTTTAATTAACGCGTCATTTGGATAATGATTTTGATCGCTAATTTGGCTTAGAATATGCAGGTGTAAATAACAGCGTTTCACGAGTTTCGACCAAAAAACTATTGTCAGCCAATAATTCAGTAAGGGCTGATTTTTCAATAGTCAGATAAATATTATCTGAGGAATAAAATTGTTGCTGCCACTGTCTTGTGCAAACATTCTGCCGCGGCAGCATCATAAAAATGATTCCGCAGATAACTTTTATCTAACCATTGAAAAATCAGCCCTAAAATAAATAAAAATACATTTTCGTTTCGCGTAAAAAATATATAAATGAAAGAAACTGCACATCAATTCCTGTAGGTATATTGCACGTACATTATTATGTATAAATTTACATATCTAATAAAGCTATATATAAGTATAGCGATATGTGGTTATAGGGTGGCTATCATTACTATACCTTCTTTAGTAAAATTGTTTTACTGTATTAGTTAGGATCATCAATTTGGTAGTTTCCAACTAGTCAAATTCAATACTTTTTTTAATATGTCAAAAATATGTTCTACATGAATTAGCACGTTGTGACGTCATTTCTTTGCGTCAAAAAATACGAATATTAAGTACATTGTAAAATCAAGTAATGAAAGTGCGAATATTTTTTACGTATTTTTTATGTTTAACTTTACTTATTTTTTGAAAGAGGGAACTACCAAATTGGGTGTTTGCTCCGCGCGAAAGCTGCAATTCATTTTATCGAATGTACATTCTTAACAGAATGAAAATATTACCAAGCAACAAAGTTTATGTTGCGCCATTGTTTAAACCTCTACTTTAATAACTAAGCCACGTGAAGATAGGATAAACTAATTCGTGTCAAAACATTAAATAAGATTAACAATTTTACTAAACTTATTAACTAAATTGCAAACAGCCACTGATTTTACTAGGCAGCACCAATAAAACTGTCGTTTTACAATTTCATTACAAGATCGTCAATAAATACAAATCATATTATGAAAACAAATGTTAAAATCATTTGAATCAGAATCAGCAACTTTAGTATTTGATGTAACAAATTTAGAAGGTAAATAACATTTAGTGGCCAGCGTAGATTATAAATAGTAACTTAGATGCTAGTTTTATGGCTCAGTTACTAATTTAGAGGTTAGTGTAGATTGTTTGAGGCAAACAATGCAATTAAATAGATGGCATTTAAATATGCACCTAATAACAAACTGCAAGAAAGTATGGTATTATATGGCTTCACTTACTACCGACACTTGACATTTCATCGCTAGTTTATAACGAGCCCAATAGAGGGCAGCACTACATATCACCTCCAGACCGGTGTTACAACTACAGGCCTAACTACCTAAGCTAACTATGTACTAACCTTTTTACATGATCTTAAAAAATATACTACAAATCAAAAATAGTAGACAAAAATACATTATATCTCTATGCAAACATATATTATTATATGTTATTATATCATTGATATATGGTTCTCAATAAATAAAAAATATATCCCCATAATTTTAAATCATCGTAGCCGCGACACGTCTGCTAGCTACTACCTACAAAATGCATAACTAGATAACAGCTCATAGAAAAACAAAGTGTTAGTAAAAGTACTTATAACATTACATTATGATTTGGATAATTACAACTTACTAAAAACACTATTCATATACACCCATTAAAAGTTCATAATTTTATTTAAATTCTTCGTGACATCGAGCCTAACGCTCATTGATCCAAAATATTTAAACATCTAAGGTTGATATTTCATAAGGCTTGTAGTAACATTTACCTTAAAAAAATGTTGTAAATAGTAAAACTAATTCTGTCGATGTCAACCGAGCCTACTGATTTGTACAATAAGGTCACTTGTCGGATATATAGCATTCGCAAATGTCGTGGCATTGCGATGCTGAGTAATGCCCCGTATTGTTTCACCGCGTTATAACGTTTAGAAAACGATGAAAAATTATAATTAGGTATATTGCGTCGGATGTATAGTGTTCACTCGGCACATTAGCCCCGAGCTCTCAAACGCACTGTCAGTTATTGTCATAACAACATATTTGGTAAAATGTATAATTGTCGACCACTACATTATCGTAGTGTTTCTCATTCAAGTTTTTTTTTTACTGTCAAAATAAACTATAGAAACCAATTTAACCTTATTCTACTTATTTTTAAAGTCCGTTTTTATTGTACTCATGCTTTAATAGTTATAGCATTTCGACACTACGTAGGTTCTGATTCGACACCGTGAAAATATAGACAGACTGGCAGAACTTGAATATTTTTTTCTAATTTTCTTTCAAAAAATCAGATGATGAAAAACGCAAATTACAAAAGAAATAGTTCTACGGCTATGACGGACAATATTTACACGAGTTCGAAACGGACGTAGTGCGAAAGCGATCTTCAGTGTCATAATAAGTGCATCATATCAACAGTTAAACATTAAACGTTTCTCTGTATAGCTGTATAGTTTAGTAAATCATTTTATTTATTTCCAAGTGTTGCTTGTTTGTTTAAGAAGATTAGGACAGCTCGCTAGCCATTAGTATTTGTTTCGTACTATTTGTGTAGAAAATAAAGACAGCCAATCAATTATTTTGTCATTAAATAAATTGTTTTTTTTTTTATTTGACGTTTTCCAAAATGCTAACTAAATAGTATTTTATTAAGTCGTTATCTGTAATGGAACAGAAAGGTTTACAATAACACTTAGAAGGTTTTCTATCCATATACTAGAAAAGTTGATACATTTCATTGGTTCCATTATACTTAATTGTACTTTACTTAAAATCGAAACGCACCATTTTACTCAATATGATTACTTCGAGGTTTCCAATATTATGATGAGCAAGAATCAGTATACTGACCTAAATACGTTTGAATGTTCACAATAAGTTCCCAGGCAACGCAGCAGCGAGCTACCAATGGGGCCTCTAGGGTAGAGGCCACGGTAGGCCGGAGAAGTTGACGGGTCCGCCGAGGCCGGCGTCGGCCTCGAGCAGGCTCATGATGACGGCCATAGCAGCTTCACCGTTACCGTCGAGGCCGAGGGGCGGCAGCGGGGGCGAGGCGGGCGGCGGCGAGGATGCGGGCTGCGCTGCCCCGGCCGGTGGCGGTGACCCCTCAGCCGCGGCGCTCAGCGGCACGTTGTTGCGCACCTGGCTGTAGCTCGACATGTCCACGCCCAGGATGTTGTCCACTAGCGACGCCTGCTCGTACAGGACGTTTGCTTTTAGTGGCCACTGTTTCAAGGGGCTCACATCAACTTGGATTTGCGTTTATAAAATATTCATTAACACGTTACCGACGATGTGACACCTAACTTCACACTACACGATATACAGTAGCAGTGTCTCATAGTCACGGTACCAAAGCTTTGAATAGATAGCACTCTTACTTACTAATTTTACAAACGCGAAAGTTTAAAATAATGATGATTTGGTTTGTTACCTTTTCACATTAAAATTTTAAACGCATAATTATAACTTTTTATAACGGAAATATGGGGAAGCTCTCCAAAGATTTGTGCTTTTGTCTCCCCTGCTATCGGTATATATACTACAGCGAATATAATAAGAAAGGCATGACATACATTTTGGTTGAAGACGGCATCCTGCAGCAGGTCGGCCGGCAGGTCGGGTGAGAACTCTGAGGAGGATCGGCGCAGCGCTTCCTCTGCGATGGCGCTGCCGATCTTGTGGGACTCGACCTGCGACTCGATGAGCCGCTGCATCTCGACGTCGGCCTCTGAAACCGCACTAGCTACATGTGGCGCCCCGGCCGACTGCGCCAGCTCCCCTGCACACACGTACACACACGTATTTACACGTGTTACACGCGTGCCACGCCCCCTCCCACACACTCACATACATTCTTCTAACTCGTTTCACTCTTGTCAGAATGGTCGTTATTGTCGATTAAGAAGAGCCTCTTATACATTCCACGCCTACATATCTTCGTTATACTATTCTTACACGCTTGATTCAATCACACCATTCACAGACAAACATATAGTTATGATTACATGGCTATTATTTGCCCCAAAGCTTACAGACCTCCTAATGATAAAAACGTGATTAATAGCACAAGGAATATGCACGCCCGCACTGAAAATTTCAAAAAGTAATTTATACCTACTGACCTATCCTAATTATACTCTTATTTCCGTTCATATCCAAACGACATGATGAAAAAAAAGGCAAGGGCAGGGGCCCGGTACATTTCAGGCTCAGATTCCAGCAGTAGCTGATAAGATGATTTAGGGCATTGGACTAGCTTATGGTAGTCGGTGAGGGTGCTGGACAATGTTGCGAGTCCTTTTCACAGTCGGGTTAATAGTGGTAATAGCTCTATAGCCGAAGTCCAAAAACTCAGCGGTATTTTTTCTTTTGGCCTCACTCCGGTCGTGACGAACTGGGCATCATTCGGCAGAGTATTCTTTACGTTAACGTGATTGAAACATTACCGCGTTTAGCTTTATGATTCTCTAATTTATTGTAATTTGATGCAGGTCAATCAGAGCACCGAACGTCGTAAACGTGTCGATCGCCTTAAGGTTAAGCGAAACTTGGACTAGGCATTGAGATTCAGAGATTTGAGAAACAGAGAGTGCTAGCGCACTATAATACTTCTGATTTCATATTTTTTTTATTTGCCACTAACTAGGATTTTCTCCCATGTAATGGTTGCCATCTATATTAACATACTTACACCCGAAACAACAACATTTTTGGATCACACAGAGTTGGTCCTTGCAAGAATCGAAGACATACCATAGCAGCCGCTTGCCCAGCCCCCGCATCAACTTTGTAGTCCAGTCAGTTCCTATCTCTTGTGTAGTGTGCATGTCTAGTGAGAGAGTTGAATAGCGTACTAGCTACAATCGCGCGGTTTCACTCGCTGATTGGTTCCCACAGATCATAGCGTGATATTTTATAGCCTTCCTCAATAAATGTACTAACAAACACAAAAAATATTATATAACTCGAATCAGTAGTTTCGGAGATGAGCGCCTTCAAACTAATAATCAACAGCTTTATAATTATAGTATAGATTACTCACTCTGCTTGTACAAGTCGTAGGAGGAGTGCGCGGCGTCTGCGTGCGCGCCGCCGTGTGCCTCCGATACGATCGTATTGTTGGCCACCAGGCACTCCACTTCCTTCGTCCAAGGGTTCCTGTACACAGCAAATAATAGTATGTCTTTATCCAAAATATTATTTTACTAAGGGCTGATTTTTCAATGGTTAGATAAAAGTTACCTGAGGAATAATTATGATGCTGTCTGCATCATCATTATTGATTAAGACAGTGACAGCAACAATTTTATTCCTCAAATAACATTTATCTGACTGTTGAAAAATCAGCCCTAATTTTAGGTTAAGCATTCTGACGACAGCCATTAACAATGTCAATGCGTGTTGTGTCATATTTGCATAAGATTGGACTTTTAAATACGTAAATAGAATTAACATTTATATTTATTTTCTTAGATCTAATCTCTTTTTGAAGCCTGGGGTATAATTTACAGAAAAGTTACATTTAATTGGATATGCCTGTAACTTCATGGTGTCTGTCAGGATCCAAACTAGAATTTACGTTGACAAAATTTGTAATTTTCCGTTGTTTTTTTTATCAACTAATTTTATTTATTTATCAAAAGATATAAGTACAAAGACAGGACAGGCGAACTTGATGCTTTAGGCATTGTCTAACAGTCGACTTTTAGGTGTTGGAGACATAAATAAATAAGTTAATGACAAAATCTTTATTGAGTGTACGCACCAAAAAACTGTTTTGTTAATATTTGCATGCCACCATATGACAGATGTGTGGTACTAATTTACTATTTACTTAACACCTGTGATAATGTATCACATTTGTGCTAATAATGATTATAGTTATAACATCGAGATATAAGAGCGAATGGAACTGACTTGAATGGTTTGAAGTGTGTCTGTAGGCGGGCAAAAGTGCCGTCCTTCTTGCGAAAGGAGTATGGCGGCGTTTGTAATGGGTCCCTCCGCAGCAGCGATGTCTTGTGCGTCCGCGCCACCGCGCTCAGCTCCGGTCCGCTCACGTACTCGTACAGACTCGTGCCCAGCAGCTCTTGCGGCAGGAAGCCCAGCGCCAGCGTCACCCTGCAAACACCACACCGACGACATTGTCATTACCTATATTATTGTATTTGAGAGCCAAGTTTCGATAAGAGCCGGCTCGACCGAAGTAATACCACGTCCTCACAGAAAACCGGCGTGAGGCAACTACAGCATTGTATTTCTATGTGTGAGGAGGCCCAATCCCCCCACCTCTTCCCACACGAAGGTACCACCCTAAATGTCTGAGATCCAAATTCATCCCCAAAAGGCCGGCAAAGCACTCGTAACTCTTTTTTTAATGGGAAAAAAATATTAAATGACTTCTCTCGCCTAGTATATGGCGAGAGGGAGTGTCAGACTCTTACTGACCAAAATGTCCCTAGTCCCTTCTCCTGATCCAGGCTGAGGCTGCGGTACCTTATTGCACTTAACCCACAACCCTGGCTAAGCGTAGGCCATTTTGGGCCCCGTCTGTGGTGGTCTATTGGTTCTTAGAGGCATGCACAGAACGCTACGCGCCGCACATTCGGGTCACACTCGTAACCCTGGGGTTGCGAGTTTCCATAGGTCGTTTGCCAGCCCTCAACCGCTGTATCTGTGCTAAATCTTGTAACGTGTGCTTGATAAACACGTACCTTTGGTCGACGAAGAGGAACTTTCCGTCGGGTGCGTGTCGCGAGACATACTGAAGCTGGCGCGTCGGCGGCGGTGGACAGACGAAGGCGGCGGGGGCTGGTGCCAGGTCGGGCAGCGCGCGCCCCACTGCCACCAGACACGACATGTTGCACTGCTCACCGTCGTCCGAGACTTCGGCTGAGCTTGCGCCTCCTCCCCCGCCCCCGCCGCCTTCTGACATCTCCGCCGGGGCCCACGATTTTAGGTAACCTGAATTATACATTACAGGCTATAATGGAGACAACGCAAATGTCAAAGATATTATATTTCAATTATTTTATAAACCTTTGATATGTCAAAATTGAAATCGTCCATCAGACTTTTCGTCATTGAAGCTAGGTGTCAATTCCGAAATCTAGATTAGTATGGACTGTTAGGATACTCTAAAAGATTTGGTAAACGAGCACTTTTTGTCAGCAATAATAGAGCAGTGTATACCAGTGCACTGGACGACGCAGTACTTCTTCTCGTTGGACTTCTTGCGTAACTTGGTGGTGGGCTCGGCCTCCTCCTTGATGGGCACGGGCTCGGGTGCGGGCGCCTCAGCTGACGCCTTGCACTTGATGCGGCAGAAGAAGGAACGCCGCGCTCCCGGGCACAACCGCGACGCGCCCGCCTGCACGTCCGCCTTCACCGGCAGCATTGCTGCACAGCACACAATCATTTTCTACTTTGCTTCCTCAAACATAATAACCTTACTAACAGCTTTCCTACTGCTTGTTCCAAACCACATATACCTACATTCGTACAATTGTAGACAGATAAACGGGGGATTCTTTTTTAACTATATAGCATTGAGAGCACAGTCCAAGCTGCTGCATAAGAGTTTGAGAGACAGAAACTTCCTCACAATGTAACGCTTGCTGAGAGAGAACCACATTATGCGTCAGACCCTTGATCCACCCGCCTAAAAGCAACCTTCTTGGTAGGTTATGGTTTGTCATGATCTTGTCTCAAATTTTTCCGAAGAGTATGAATGAGCCAAGATAATCGCCAAGAAGTCTTATCTGGGCCCATAAAGACCCCTGAGAAGCAAACGGAAAGCTCCTTGCTCCGCCAACTCTGGTCTTGGTAAGTACTACAGGTTTTCGCCACTTTTATTTTGCCGAAGATAGAAGAGTAAATCCATTGTCCTCTGCGACTTCCCTTTGCATACCATCGCAGATTTACAAAATGTCCCTAATATTAAGACACAAACATTTGACAAACCTTGGCCACCACATTTCCGTGAAATGTACCTACTTACAACAGTTACACCCTCATAATTGACTTTCAACATTTAATAACCAAGGAGGAAGAAGGATCGAACATCCACTCGCCCCCGAAACTTCTACTCATTTCGGTCTGATAAATAATTATTTTTAATAAAACACTAGCAGACCCAGCCACTCGTTGCTGTGGCTAAGGTTCTTGTCAAAATAATATTGTGACTATAAATTGAGATGTAAGCTATCCTATCCTATCGGTTTAGTAGTTTAGGAGTTCATCGCGGACAAACACGTGACACGAAATTTTCATATAATAAATAAGATATAACTATAACTCCATTAAATAATACTCATGTAAAATTTTAAATTGATCGGTTCATAGGATTCAGCGTAATTGTTAGTTACTCACAAAGCCTTTTAAGGCCTACCTTACTTCGCACGGGTGTCAACTACCTTGGTGTAAGTTATTTGTTTTGTTAACGAACCCCTACGAATTCGAAAGGTGCTTTATTCCTAGATTTTTTTTCTATAGATTTTGTTGGATTTTTGATTGCATGGATTAGTCCGAATAAGTAGTAAATAGACGAGTAGTCTCACTTAAAAAAAAACAGGTGGTTTTTTGTGAGGGAAAATCATCAAATGCCCATTAGTAGGGCGAGAGGGAGAGTCAGGCTCTTACTGACTAAAAAAACCCCTCCCTTCTTCTGCTGAAGGCCGAGGCCGCAGTGCCTTAATGCGCTTGCTCAGCAATCCGGGCAATGTGGGGCGGTTCAAAATGGATTTTAGGGTAACTCACTCTTTGCGTCGATGAGCCTCTCGCGGGGGCTGAGGTCTGAGGAAGACAGCTGCTCCTTCACCTTGGCCACATCTTTGGGGTGCAATATATCGAACAAGCTCTGGCCGAGCAATTCTGTCTGTGAACAACAATACCTCAAAGTTACACGGCTGCACTCTGTACTGTGCGAGCGCGACTCGCCACCAGTTCCACAGAGTGTTCATTTATTTATCATTATATTCATTTCCATATAACAATTATATTAAAGACATATTTAAAATTTCATAAAAATTGCTATTACGTCAGAATAAATTTCTAAAACAAGTTTATAATGAGTTGCGAGTTACCGCATCGCCAAGGACAGCACGCAAGCAACAACAAAATTGCAATAGACCAACAATAATGCAAAACGATCGCTTGAAGTCAGCACAGATAATTACTAATGGAGGAAGCGCAGCAAATGAGTGATGGCTAATGACGATCGAGGAAACAACGTATACACTGCAATGTCTAGCATTATTATATAAATATGTATACCAACAAGTCATTATACATACTTAAACACGCTCAAGTATTGAACCCATAATATATGTATTATGCACAAAATTTGTCAAACAATCAACAAACACATTGAAGTACACAAGTATACATTTGCCAGTGCTTTCGCATTGTAAGAAGATGAACACGATTCACATAAATAAAGAGCATCGCAAGGAGTATAGGACCGACCTGGTCGTAGTGTAGCATCTGCTTTACGGAGGCGGAGACGTAGAGGAGGCGTCCGCGATCGCAGCCCACTACCAGTAGGAAGGAGTCATGCGCCGCGTGCAGGATTAGCTGGTTGAGCTCGCGCTCCGACACGAAGGCGGGCCGAGGCCGCGCCGTCAGCGGGCACGCGGACAACGCACCGCGCACCGACCGCAAATGCTGTACTGCCATGCGCAGCACTGTCAGCTTATCCAGCTTTCGCGCCATTGCACCACACATTGGAATCATAGCGCTCAATTCCGAGATATACGTGTTCATCTTGTCACGCCGCCGCTTCTCGATCTCGCTGTGGTTTTGTCTGCAACGCGCCAGAAGTAACAGATTATAATAACAATACTAAAGCTTTAGTCCTATAGTGGACTGGAGTTGAGCTGACAACTTACTTTTTGTCAGGCAGGGTGCGAGTGGAGCGCGCGTCGTCACCGCCATCATCATCGTACGCGCTGCTCGTGCCACTGAAAACATAACACTAGTATCAGGGGTGCACAAAAAAATAGAAATCTCCCTTTTTTTCCCAATAATCGAATCTATATCTCTCTATAGAATACCTACAAGCACGTAGTGTGCTTGTAGGTATTTTAAGTTCTATTTAATATATGAAAATGGAGTCTAATTTTCGCAGAAAACCTTGGGAAAACTGCAGATGTCAAGGATTTTTATTTTGAAGACAATAATATGATAATTTGTTTAAAGGATAACCGTGATCGAACCCCATTTTGATTTGACTTCGTCATCATCTATTTGATGACTTCGCCCATCACGTACTATAAACACAAATTCCCATAAATTCGTGTATACGCGTCACGCGTGCTGCTCCACGCGCCACCTTAACATAAACACAAGAACGCCTAACGCCCCACGTGACGCCGACGGAGCTTCGAGCGACGCCCCGCGTTTTCTTAACCTAGCAGCCTGCGCGCTGCAAGCGAGCGAATTGCGAATTTACAGAACTAACCACATGCGTTCTGCCTACTGTAAGTCACCAACGACACAATGCTGATGCTGTGTCGTCTGCCATCCTACCACTGCCTTTCGCGCCCCACTCACGCGTATATCCCACAATCCCAGTCTCATACAAGAACCCATGAAGAGCTAAATTTTCTATTCCCTCCTTACTAAATCCTCATAATAAAAACTTACCTACAAGGTAAGTCCAAATAATTTTTACGTTCATTAGAAAGCTACAGTAAATAGCACGAGAACACGAGCTTCCGTAATATGATCGAATGCCCTTTACTAATGAATACGATTGCTGTTACAGATTAGTACAGACTACAGATATGTCGACTTTTTTGGCAAAACGGACAAATCAACCAATTTAGTGACTTTTCGTAAAAAAAATATATATTGAAGTAGAAACTAATATATCGCTCATATGTATATTTGCCGTTGTCCTGTTCACCGCGGTAAATTATAACGTCACACGAGAATTTCTTCAAGAATTAAGCACTACAATTTAATCATTATTAACCTTAAATACAATCATTTTTTCTTTCTAAGACGAAGATAATTTTGCACACGACACTACTTTCACTGAAACGTAAAGGGTAGATACATATAGAAAATGTGAGCTGAGTACTAAGTTTTGTTTTCAAACTTAAAAGAGAAATATTAAAAACGTGATCTCTTCGAATCTTCGGATTATTTTTGAAAATAACTAGGTAATGTTGGTTAGGAATACATTTTGCTACCTTAATTTGTGCTTTAGCAGTTGTATTATTACCTAATCAGTCAGTTAGCTGATTGGCCATTCAACCCCTGTCGCAACTTTACCTGCTGCTTACAGCTAGCAAATGAGTTCAACCGACTTTAATTCTTAATATTAACGAAGGATGAAATAGAATTATGAGGCAGCGGGACATAACATTACATTATTACATTAATGTTGTAAGTGTCTTCGACTGGACTAATCTTACCGTTCGAAGTGTGTGGAGCGGAGGGCCCGAGGGACAAAAACTTTGATTACACACTGTAATTATAAATTCGGCTACTTAATTTGTCATCGTAACTTAAACGATTGCAGAGGGCCAATGATTGCCTATTAATGCCGATTAGTTCTACTAGAAGTGACTTGAAAACTTTATGAGAATATTGATCTGGTTGTAATTTGCGATTGTACCTTGACACAGAAATTGATCACACAATACTTATAATAAATTATAATGTAAAATTAAAATTACCGTGGCTCGGAAGTTAACGCACTCGCTTCTTATGGTTTAGGGTGCGGAACATGGCAAGTACCGATGTGACTTTTTCTAAGGTATATGAAGATACTTTCGAGCAGAAAAACAACGTTATAAAACCTGAACGTATATTTTCTAATTATAACGTTAAAGTCGCCAATTCGCCTTGAGCGTGGTGATTAATGCTTACACCTTCGTGCGAGAAGAAGCCTTTGCTCAGCTGTGGGCAAGTTGCACATTATAATCTGAAATAGCCTGTAGTCTATTTATCCTATATGCAACAGCCCGTAAGATACCTACTGAAAATGAATCCTTAGTAAGCCCGACACGCACATGGCTATTCTTTTTTCACGTGGGTAAGTACTCTGTTAATGTATAATGAAATGTTTTTCAAACACGTTCAAATTCCGAGTAACATTAACCCTAACTTCGTCGATAATAATGTAATTACGAAAGTGTTGTTTTGTTTGTCTTTTTTGAGGTGGCAACAGAATTATTTTGAATAATTTTTTTGAGTATGATGATAGAGTACGGGAGCAAGTGCTTTGTGCAACTTTTAGTCCTTGAGTAAGAGGACTGCTTTGAAAATAAACATTAGAGTTTTTAATCAGATTTTTTTTTACTAATTTTGGAACATCATACATTCTGGCTGTTTAACTAACTAATTCACATTATGAACACTATTATCGTTAACTAAGTTCGTCTAAACAAAAAATCATCAACCGACCTATTTTTGTGAAATTTGTCCAAAGCATTGTTAAATCAGTAAATTGCCATGTAGGTATGTAATTTTTTTAATTTTCTTACTTTTATAGCTACAGCAGCGTACATAATACCCCTCATCATAATCTTAACTTAATTCAACCATTTTTCTAATCGTACCAGCTTACCAAGTATCTGTACCTGCATACCAAATGTATGTATTAAATAGGTACATACATGCATTTGTTTTACTGTAATGTATATACTTCTATGACAGTCTACATTGCACAAATTATACGTTACAAAAAGGCAATGCGCGCTAAGTCTTCGAAAACTTTCAATGAACATTTTCGGAAGTAAGGCGTGTGCCTACTGAGTTCGGGTCACGTGACCAACGAGTGCTTTCCCAGAGTAAATGAAGCCTTATTACATGTAACGAACGGAGTAGTAAACTCAACTCTTTGGTCACAGGTGCTTTTTACACGGCTGGCTCTGTAGCTAAGCAACGTCGCGGCTCGCGTGCCCACGTAACAGGGTAGAGGTGTATCCTCGCTTTCCCTGTTAATTGGCCGTATTGTAACCAACTCAAAGGGTAACTTTATAATATATATGGGTTCGGGAAAAGACAGCGCTTTAAGATTTTTAAATTTAATCTGTCAACTGTCGAAAACCAATTGCTTACAGTAACTCACGTAGATTATAATGAAAGTGATATCGTTTAATTAATAAGTTAACACAAATAGTTTAGTCATTTGGTCGGAAAATGGAATAGAATATGAAATATGTGCATGTTATAAATAAAAAATTGATTTTTTTTATTTCAATGTGCTCTTTCCAAATTTTTGTTTACCTCGCAAAGGAGCTGCTAATGCCGCCATCTTGAAATAATAGGCGCCGAACAAACTAATTTCTTCGAATTAGCGCTAAGAATTGCAATCTTACGTAAAACTATTAATTTAAAAATGCAGTTGGTTTAAACTGTTTTTTCGTAAAAAGCACCGGAAATATATGTAAGTAGGTATATCATAATGAAAATTTGAAATAAAAAGACTATCTAGTGTCTACATCACGTAGGTACGATAACCGCACGACGCGCTACGCTTTGCCTGTGCGTAAATAAAGGACGTCTAAGCGATTTTATTTTGACACTTTACTGCCAGTGATAATAATGTTAAAATTTAAGTAAGTACATAATGTGCTCACGGAACCAATACCCATTAAATGTAAAGAGGTAATATACCTAACCTGATACGTATAAATACATCTATAACAATAAGTTTGTATGTATTAGGAACTCACAAGGACGACGGCTTCCTCTTGCGCGTGGCACTGGCAGGCGCGTGCAGTGACGCTGTCGGCGCCGCCAACCCGGCCTCGCAGCTAGACATCTCATAGCTCTCCGAACTGCTGCAAAACCAAATGAACTTGTTAGTAAGTGACGTGCTTCCTGTGCTTCGTACTTGCTAGATCTTGTGTTATGCCTGTAACTTTGAGTCCAGACCCTGTCTTATATACATTGTGACGTGATACGAGAAAAAGCAGTTGCTTCAGATTCAGAAAATATTAAATAATAAAAGATAACATTATTTAAGAAGTTTATCTATTGTATTAGGTTCTTAAACAAAGCTTATTGAATAATTCAAGTACTATTTCCAATGACGATATAACCACTCTGACTATTTCCGATTACTTCAAAACGGCAATATTGACCGATTCTTAAAGTTTTATGAGGAACTTTAAAGCCGTTTTGAAGCCGTTTTCTTGTGCATGTGGTATTAACCTTTAATTAATTGTTGCACTTGCAAATGTTACACCCATTAACTTACAATAAATGTATAAGTGTAAACAATTGTTGGTTACCCTAATTAAATAAATAAACTTTATGCGCTGGTAATGTTAATGCGTTTCGGGTCAAAGAGCTATGCCGCCCCGACACAAAAAGTAGACAAGACGTCGATATAAACTATGATATGAGTTTCTATGCCAATCAATTATTAACCTCTAAAAAAACTTTATGAGGGAAAGGGACAAAATACCTATAACGAGAAAAATTCCGTTAAACTTTAAACTAAATGTACAGTATCTCGAAATAGAAAACCCTGAACAAATAGCTAACACTTTCAAAGACTTCTTCATGACGGTAGGCGGCAAACCGCGCAGACAGTCTGGTCGGCCAGTCAAAACACGTGCTGACAACGCCATCTACATTGAACCTGTTGACCCTTGGAAGTTGACACAATAATAACGAACATAAAAAACAAACAAAGTTTGGCATTCGAAAAGCTTCCGACAACTTTATCAAAGAAAAGTGTAAAAAAGAACTAGCCATTCCTCACCCATAAACCAGCCATTCTGAGAAGACGTAGTTCTAATACATTAATATAAAAAAAGGGATTAGATCTAATAGCAAAGCTATACACAGTATAAAATATGGAAATAAAGGTACCTATTATTATTAAAATTTGTATATGTACCAGTCACGTGACCTGGTTATTTGGGAGACCCGCTCCCGGTTGCAACACGAAGTAAGGTTGTACTTGCTCCGAGTAAGACCAGAGACACGGAGGCCTTTAGACCAGCTTTGGCCTTTAATCTAAATGAAATGGAAAACAATCTCTGAATGACAGGCCCTGTATGTATAATGGAAATATGCATAAGGACGTCACCGGTTGAAGAACTGTTTTATGTAGATAACAGAAACAAAAGAGAGGGCTAGTAAGTTGCTGTGGACTTGTATAATAGGAAGAATGAAAGGATAACGAAACAATATAACAAATGGCAAGTGGAGACACGCCAACTCTTTTATCGGGCTCCCGGAAATAATTTCTAGAAATAGCAACAGGCGGACAGCGGAAATATGAGTGGCTGAAGGGTAAAGAAATTGCCACCAGCTTTCTATTCAGGTCATTCGTATCTGCCTAACCATCTTGCATTACTAATAGCTTCCACCCTCCGAGGAGCATCTGGTTACGCGAGTACACTCTGCCAGACCTGTTCTTTGTAATCGTCCGCTCCAGCCAGCCCAAAGACAAGGCAGAAGGCCATAAGGAACGGATTGTTTTTTCATGGAACACTCGGTTTCAACCACCCTAGACCATAATCTATGGCCACTAAAATATAAAAAGACACTAAACAAAATTAATACCTGTCAAAGCTTTATTATTCTATACTGTAGTAAGCTTAAAATAAATATAATTATATGTAGGTTACTAGGTATCTGTTTACGTATAGAAGCGGTAAGTATGTATGATGGTATGAAGGATCAAACTTCTGACTTTTACCTGGCTGAACCAGCAGTCAGCGGCACGCTGCTGGCCCTCTTGGACTGGGATCTAAATCCAATAAAACTTTCCAAGTCATCCAATTGTAGTCCTACAGGTAAGTCAGGCTGTGTCAACGTTTTCGTTATCTGCGTCTGGTTGGGGTCATCGTAAGAGTTTATCAGCATGAAAAAACTTTCATCGTCCCACGCGAAATCACCCATGGCTCAATTCTCAATTTTCCTCGATAAGCGACTGCCCTGAGAAATGACCGCGACCAAACTGTGCCGGCTTCGTCGCTCACTACCCAAGGAGGGGTGACATTATGATTGCGACACAGGAAAAGCTCGCAAAATTCGCAATTACGTATGTACCTATTACAAAACGGGGTCATTTGTTTCAAACTTTACATTTATTCACCAGCATTTGCCCGCGACTTTGCTTGTCTGTCTTAGGACGGAATAATGATCATAATAACATACCTTCACAAAGTAGTAGACTGTTAAAAAAATTTTAGATACATCATTCAGATTGTTAACAAAATTAATTTACACTCACACGTCGACGCGCGAAACACTCATCGCCTCCCCCAAAATAAGCGATGAGCTGAAATGCACCAACTAGCTTCACCTGGACGGGATTCTTTTGATAGTTGCCCGACAATATCCGTACACTAAAACCTAATGGCTTTTGCAAAACAGATTTGCGTTACTTACAGCGCAAACTATACTATAGGTATACGCATACTTTGATGGGTCGAGCACGGACTCAACAGCTCACTTCATTTTTGAAACCGAAGAAGTTACGCTCTCCTGGAGTAGTGGTATAGCCTCTCAACCGAAGCCGACATTCATACATACTACTCTGTCAAGAAAGTACCGGGAAAAAGTCAATAATACACAAAATGTTTGTTATTCATCTAAATTTATTTTATCACCTTCAAAGTATGCTCCTTCAGAAACGATACACTTACGCCAACGAATAATCCAATCATCGAAACTTTTTTTAAACGCTGTTTCCGGAATTGAGTTCAGTGCTCGCCGCGAATTCTCCTTTATGTCTTCTAACGATTGAAAACGGGTGCCACGAAGGGGTAATTTGAGTGTGGGAAAAAGAAAGAAGTCGGCTGGAGCCATATCTGGTGAATATGGTGGCTGCTCGATGGTGTTTGTTGAGTGTTTGGACAAAAAATCGTTTACAATGATGGCCTTGTGCGAAGGCGCATTATCGTGATGCAAAATCCAAGAATTTTCTTTCCACATTTCTGGCCTTTTTCGTCGAATTTGTTCTCTTAAACGCCGCATAACGCTCAAATAATATTCTTTATTTACCGTTTGACCTTCGGGCAAGAATTCTGAGTGCACAACACCGCGCTAGTCAAAGAAAACAGTCAACATAACTTTGGCTTTTGATCGACTTTGACGTGGTTTTTTCGGTTTTGGTTCAGTTGGAAGGCGCCATTCCGAAGCTTGTTGACTAGTCTGCATGTCAAACTCGTAAACCCACGTCTCGTCACCAGTAACAATGCGTTTCATGAATGTTGGGTCGGTATTGACTCGTTCTAGCATGTCCTCAGCGACTTTCATGCGATTTAGTTTTTGAAGAAAATTCAGGTCTTTTGGGACTAGCCGAGCGGCAACACGTTTCATACCCAAATTATTTGTTAAAATGGTACGGATCGACTCGTGGGATACAGAAAGTTCGGCGGCCATCTCTCTCAAACTTGAATGAGGATTTTCAGTCACTATTTCCTTCACTTTTGCGATGTTAACTTCAGTTGCAGACGTTGATGGCCTACCAGAACGAGGCAAATCTTCCATCACATCTCGACCGCTTTTGAACGCTTTGTACCACTCATAAGCACGTGTTTTTGATAAAGTCGATTCACCGTAAGCCTTCTGTAACATTTTGAGTGCCTCCGAACACGAAATTTCATTGGCGATGCAAAATTTAAGACAAACTCTTTGTTCGATGTTTTTGTCCATTATGAAATTCGCAATACACACTAGATATTATAAAACTAAAAACAGCACTGTTTTTAATATAAATAACAGATGCAACTCAAATTCAGCGCCAAAATGGAAAACAGTTATGCCAATCTAACAACAACAAAGAAAATTAAAATTCGAATTTGGAACCATAAAAAAAATATTCATTCCCGATACTTTGTTGACTGAATGTACTTCCTGACCTGGCAAGTTCTCAATCGCTCGATCTACGGGATGCAAACGCTCCAAAAACACACCACAGAAACAATACAAAAAACGCTTCGTAAATGGAGTAAAATTCAATTTTAAATCTGCCGAAAAAGCAAGCCCTCTTATAGCTTCGGGCGATAGTTCGCCGTCCTTGAGACATTCATGATGAATCCTATGTTTCCACCAAAATCCTATAATAATACGGCCGTAGAGACGGTAGTACTCTTCGGAAAATCAATTCAGATCGTCATAACAAATCCTACACAGCCTGCCTTTATTTGCTAGGAGGTAGTTTGTAATTGTTCTAATTGTTGTAGAGGGTTCCGTCAGTGATGCGTTAATTGAGTTTTTAAGTAGCTTTTGATGATGCTTAACATAGAGGACTTGTCTACAACGTGTTCAGCGTGCTGAACCCATAACTATAAAAATATGAGTAAACAGTAATGCTTACTAATGCGAAGTCTTTCTCTGGCGGGGATCATGGTGATGTGACGACTGCTGCATGGCAGGCTGGTGCGGCGCGTGCGCAAGTGCGCTGGTGGACTCCGCGCACGCGCCCGCGCCGCCGCCACTGCCCGCCGTCAGCTCATACGCCGGCGCCGCGCTCGCGCCCGCCCTGTACAGACACACGGCATCCTTAGTAAATAACTCTTCGTAATAACTTCATAAGATATCGAAGATAATCGGTATGTATGACATAACTAGTGATAAAGAACCAGAGTTTGTTTAATTCTGTCTGTAGCTTACGTCGTATTTTGGCGTGTTAATGAGGTTACCGGAGGTAAGTCTGTCCCTATTCCACAAAACCCAATCCCAAAAGGCCAGCAGCATACTTTTAAGTCGTCCTGTGTACAAATATATGAATTTAAGCTTTGTACTAACTCTGTACATGTAACCCTTAAATATTCAATTGATTTTAATGTAATACTTCATACTACTCGACATAAAAACATGATAAACAAGCGTTATTTTTGGATAAAATCATGTAAACTTCATGTGTCATTTAATTACCAATAGCTGAACCGTCCTTATGAGTACCTACGTGTATGTCAGAGTGGACATGTTAATTAAGCGCTCGATTCCGATGATCTTGTCCAAGTCTATCAAAATCGCTGTTTTAATTGAAACCAAAGCTCTTTACCAGATTATAGCCGCTGTGTGTATCGTTAGCCTGGATATGGATTAACGGCGGTATCTAGTTTACTAGTTGCCGGGCTGGGCAATGGGTTTCGGCCGCGGTAGCAACCGCTCGGAAAGGGCGAGGATTATTTTCTCGCTATTGGTATCAAAAAGATAACCCGTCAAGCGCTTTTTCAAGTTTACCAGAACTGTTCCCTTTGTAGTTTTCAAATTTTAATGTCATTTTGTTATATCGCAACAAGGCCCAGTGTTGAGGACATTCATTCAATTACTCAGCTATTTCGGTGTTTATTGATTGGGTAAGAGCGGCGAGTTTGTCCAGATAAGGAAAATTTTTTGAATCCTTATAAAACAATATCTGTCACGCTGCAGACCTTAGAAACTTTGTTATTTAATTTCCAACTTTTTAAATAAATAACGTAATGTACCTGTGAATACCGACTTATGTAACATAGAAACAGTCGTTTTCAGTAAAGTCCTATTGCTGGCATGTTGGGTTTTGTTTAAATGTTTTTACGAGAGGTTACTTGTTTACTTGGAATTGTAGATTATGTCTCGCAAAAAATTCCAAGTTTAGACTACTGTATACATACAATAAAGTAAAATTATTGCGTTTCGATAGACAGATAAATTTAAATCTATGGTCCTATTCTTAAAAATTGTGAGAGTGGATGGATGGATTTGTTTCTTTTTCAAGTAAAACGATTAAACTAATCTGCGGTATTTGCTATTAAGTTCTCTCCCTCGACTTATATTACACTCGAGGAACGCCGCTAGCAGAAGCTGGTCTCTTCGTATTCGCGAATATTTGACAAACGATGCCACGTCTATTAAAGCTTCGTTCCAACCATAGAATGATACAGGAATAACTAACAGTAGTCAGTCCGAAGTCCAAAGTCTTTTTGTCATTACCTATACATTCATAATTATGGACCACTAAGGGAACGGCCAACACCGTCCCTAAGGAGCGTGCTTGTTGCCGCTTATGCATGTAAAGCCAAAAACAATTAAGCAACGCAGTGTACTCATGAGGCACAACAAAACACGATCCGCGATGCATGCGTACTCCAAGCGCTGCGTTCCTTTCGAGTTTCATATAAATTGGGAGAGAATTGAGAGAAAAAACTACTGTAATAACCGGCTTACAAGCATCAAATACAAAACCTATACCCATACACAAAAAAGGTCTCATCCTAGTCTATATGTTTACATTTCCAACAAGCTGACTAACTCACAACGTATGTATGTAGATACTTGTACATAAGTATAACAACGTGTTCAATTAGTAGGAGACGGACCACTCATAGGGTAAAATTGCATTCTGTACGTGAACCTACGTAGGTAAGTTAGATATAGTGACGCAGTACTGGTGACTGGGTATGATAACACTCGTACAAACGCCACAAGGTAGGTACTCCTGCTGTAACTATCATGTAGTAGGTAAAAACAGAAAAGTTTATTGTTTTTTTAAATAGTTTATTTTGCAACAAATTTTCCTTAATGCCACAGAAATTCTTGATTGCGAACCTATAGGTGATGCGTTTGCAGAGAACATGGTAGGTGCAATAAAGTGAAAGAAGCACAACGATACGTACATAGAAAAATATGTTGGATGGTTGGATGTAAAGTATAAATATATTTAAACAATATCAATAGGTACTACCTTCATGTATAAAACATTAAAGATTATTATAGATATTTAATCAAAACCTGCCGTGACTCAGTACTAATCAGTCAGAGAGGTTAAGTCCCGCAAGCCCCTTTCTCCTCAAAAGAATAGGCGCTATTTCAAATTTTTACCCGTCCACTAAAATGTAGTATAATATACTCAGTATTTATTATAGAATACTCAAGAACAATACTGGATACTTTTTTTCAATATCAGTATTATATGATGAATTTCATACGAGATTGTGTATTGTGATGTCATGTTTTACATGAGTCAATTCGCAAACTTTTTTGTTAAAAACAGCTAAAAATATAGGAAAAATCAATTATTGTATAAAGTAAGTAAAATGTCGCATTGACCTAGAGGTTAAGGCCTCATGCATGAGAAGCGCCCGCTTCAGAAAAGTGCCGGTTCGAAACCTAGCAAGAACGAATGTGACTTTTTCCACATTATACTTAGTCGGGTCATAAGTTCTGTCAAAACCTTATATTTTTAATTTTCGATTACTGGCCAGAAATTCTTCGACTTATTTTAAAAATAGAACTTTCGCGCTTGTAGAAAATAAAAAAGAAATTATTTTTTATTCATTTTTAAATATGGAGTGGTCGAATAAAGAAGACAGAATCGCGGTTATCGCGTTGCACCGCTGTGGTTACGCGCCAAAAGACATTTTCAATATTCTTCAAAATTTGAAAATAACGTTACGGTTTGTTTATCGTACTATCAAACGATACACCGAAGAGTCAAGCTTCGAAGATCGTAAGAGAAGCGGCCGACCTCGCACAGTTCGGACACATAAGGTCATCAAAGCAGTGAAGGCGCGAATCGAACGAAATCCCGTACGTAAACAAAAAATCCTAGCTTTGCAGATGGGGCTAAGCAGAACCACTGTTAAAAGAGTACTAAATGAAGACCTGGGACTACGAGCTTATCGTAAAAAGACAGGACATTTTTTGAACGAGCGTTTAAAAAAAATTAGGCTAGACAGATCCCGCGCTTTGCTACGACGGTACGCGGGAAAAAAATACCGCGAAATTCTTTTTTCGGATGAAAAAATTTTTACTATTGAAGAAAGTTTTAACAAACAAAATGATAAGGTGTATGCCCACAGCAGTGAAGAAGCAAGCGCGCGTATTGCGAGGGTCCAGCGTGGGCATTACCCTTCCTCATTCATGGTTTGGCTTGGAGTCTCATATTCAGGCGTAACTGAGGTGTTTTTCTGTGAAAAAGGTGTGAGAACTAGTGCCGAAGTTTATCAAAATACTGTCCTAACAAACATAGTGGAACCTCTTTCTCAGACAATGTTCAGGAACAGGCATTGGATATTCCAACAGGACTCTCCACCGGCTCATAAGGCACGAAGTACGCAAGACTGGTTGATCGCTCGTGGAATTGACTTCATCCGGCATGAAGACTGGCCCTCTTCTAGTCCAGATTTAAACCCACTGGACTACAAGATATGGCAATATTTGGAGGAAAAAGTCTGTGCTAAACCTCACCCGAATTTGGAGTCTCTCCGAGCATCTCTGGTTAAAGCAGCGGCAGACATAGATATGAATGTGGTGCGTGCAGCGATCGATGACTGGCCGCGTAGATTAAGGGCATGTGTTCAAAATGGGGGAGGGCATTTCGAATAATGTAAATAAAATTATATTGTACATTTAATGACCTTTCATTTCATATATAATTTTTAAATAATTGTCAAAAGGCGTATAAGTTATTACATCAAAAGTTTGTGACAGAACTTATGACCCGACTAAGTATATACTTTGAAGATTATTTTGGATACCACAAGCAAACGGTGAATGAAAACATCGTAAGGAAACCTGTATTTTATAATTTCGAATTATAGATTTCAAATCACCAATCCACCTCGATTAATACTCAAACCTTCTCCGTTTGAAAAAGGCCTTTGCTCAGAAGTGGGCAAGTAAGTATAGGCTAGTGATGATGACTAAGTGACCAATTATAAATAAAATAGGAAATTTAATCCGCGGCGAAGAACTATACACAGAAAACTATAGGTATATATTATGATCCAGTGGCACCACGATACTTGTTATACTGTGATGATACGCTGGGGTGATGATTAATTATGAAACGAGGCCTAAATACCATACACAAATACTCAGTACTCGCTTCAAGTGTGTGTTATAAAATGTAAATTAAATGTCGTTAGCTGGTCGTGCTAGCACTCATGCCAGGATTCCACTACTAGTTTTCTTGTACACGTTAAAGGTTCAAATGGGGATAAACTCTGAAAAAAAAGAATATATTATGTTTGGAATGCCTAGCTTAGTTACTTGGGTAATGGCTTCCAGCTTGTGTTAGATGCTAACATTACGTTATAAAATATATAAAATTATTGAATTAACTTGTTTTGTAAAAATATTTTATAAATTTTATTTTAATTTTTGTTCAACGCGATATTATCTGTATCGTAAAAAGAAATGAATGATATATTTTTACTATTAATTATTTTATAAATAACAACCATCTACGATATTTTTTTTATTGGAAATTGGGTTGACTGAAACAGACCTACCAAGAGTTACGAATTACGATCCATTAAGTTCTAGTGTAGGTAGACATGAAAGATACTAAATTACCAAGTACTGTATTTATACATTGTATTTTTTTCAGCGTCCAAATTAAAAAAGATATGGTAATGTATGCACAGTTTTTATTTATTTCTCATTACTTTGATGATTATGTCATTGTCAAGTTGCATAGTGTTACACCGTTGCCCAGACAGTATCGATATCGATGTAACGTCTAGTTGATATTCGTTACAAGTTTTCTATTCA